AGAAGTATTTCCTGTGTTCATTCTGCAGGATAACTTGGCCAACTTGTCCCCTCATGTTGGTGGTGCGTGATATCACGGAGACATGTCCCGGGCTTATGTTTTCCATCACTTTCAGGATTTTGAATGTTATAGTGATAACTATTGAGCCTTGTGTGAAGGGTTGTTACTCCCAAGTCCAAAGTCTCTCATGCAGTCTACCTGGATAATCGAGACGACATAATTCAGGAATCATCTTAATCGCTCTGCAGGGGACTATAACAAATCGAATTGCTTTTCACAGAGAGATAAAGAGTGTTTAAATAGTGTAACTTTCCGTCTGCATCAGGCTGGCTATACTGGTGTAGTGGCCCACAGTGTGTCTTAGCGTGTATGTGACACGAGTGGAGTTGGCCAAGATATGTTATGGGCAGTATTGATATAGCTAAATAAAAGGATGTATTTACTACTGTTGTGAGTGTGAATTCAAATGCTATGATTCTGCTGTGAACGCTTAACTTAGGGACCTCCACCCTACTGAGAAAACCATAACAAAGAGGTTATCACCGAGGCCTCAATCCCACTGAGAGAACCACAATAACAGGCAGCGTGGACGAATAAGTTCCCATCCATCCATCCCCTTGAATGTCATGGCCTCTTATGACGTAACTAAGACGAGAAGTAAAAAAACAAAAGTTACAAGAAAAAGTAACTCAAATCGTCCAACATGAGAGAACCACCAACGTAAGCCCCTGGACAAGACCACAGCGACAGCAACAGGTCACTACCACCAACACCAAGGTCGTGGCTGAGAATATTCACCATCACACGGCCTCAGATCACTCTATTACACTCAGTCCAGTTACACACCTTATCACGAGACAGATCAAACACCAATCTTAACTTACTCCCCATAAGATTATAACACACGTAGTAAGCTTTATTTGTATGTGTTTATGTCGGTTAATATATTTATATACGTCGGGCCAGTGAAGGTTTAGGGGGACAAAAACAGGCGGGTGGGGACGGGCGGGGCAGACTGGAACTGGAGCTACGCGGTTATAGGGAAAATTCCCTCCCGAATACCTGTTCCTTGCCCTCGATTAAAGATTTTTACCTGATGGTGGCCGACGTACGTGTGTGTGTGTGTGTGTGTGTGTGTGTGTGTGTGTTTACTGTTGTATGTATTGTACGTTTGTTTATTTCAAACTTCCGCCTGTGTGTGTGTAGTTGTATTTAATACGTTAACATGTGTAAATAATAATAATAATAATAATAATAATAATAATAATAATAATAATAATAATAATAATAATAATAATAATAATAATAATAATATACAAAGGATAAAAATCCAAGGAACCTCAGCTGAGTTACTGCACAAGTTGTGTATAGCCGTGTACTGTGCGTGTGTTCGTTTAATACGAGCACCTGTGCCTCTATTACTGTACATCCGCCTGACTATGTACTTTATACAACTTTTACTTTTATCCTCTTCACCACTGATCGGCTCGTTAGCCGCTTGGGCGATCGGTCACGCCTCCGTTACGCACTGTTGGCAAGTACTGGGCATGCACCGGCTCCTGAATGTACCTGAACCCGCTCCAGTGTTGGTCAAGTCTGGTCTTGAAAGAGCTCACACTCGGTGCCGTCACAACACTCTCTGGTAGATTGTTCCAAGAGTTTACAACTCTCACTCCGAAAAAGTTTGCCCTCACAGTTTTCTGGATTTGCGGCTTCTTCAATCTCCAGCTGTGACCCCTTGTGGGGCGAGCGTCCGCCAGCTCCAAGTAAGGACACTCAACTGAGTAGTGCCCCCTGAGATGCTTATACACCTCAACTAGGTCCCCCCCTTGCCCGTCTGTAGTATAAGCTAGGCAAGTTCAGGCGCTCCAATCTCTCAGGGTAGCTGAGGTGCCGAAGTGCAGGCATCAGTCTGGTGGCCCTCCTTTGAACATTTTCAACCAACTGGCAGTCCCTAGCATATCTCGGGGACCAGACGGGGTGACAGTACTCCAGATGGGGAAGCACTTCACTCTTGAAGATCGTTACGAGGGACGGACCATCTAGATATCTGAGCGACCTTCTTATAGAACCCAATAATCTATTTGCCTGATTTGCCTTCTTCTCGCAATGGCCCGAGAACTTCAGCTCATTGTCAACATGCACACCTAGGTCCTTCTCACATTGTCTCAAATAGTGCAGTTTCTTCATCCCGTTGGGACATATGATACGCCTCCTTACCGTTGGCGAGGGAAAAGCTACACACTACTGTAATGCTTCTTCTTTCTGTGGGTCTTCTCTTGTTTTGTGGTGCAATGTATCGGGTACAGTATACAGGCACATACCCAACACAACACACTCATATAGTAAGCACTCCACCACACTTCCTGCATGACTTCCAGCACGATTTCATCGCCTCGCTGAGTCAATCCTAAACAAGCTCCATGATCAAGCGAGGAAGATGTGAATATATATATTTGTGTTTGGTGGGAGTTCCCTTATAATCTCATCTTTAACTATACAACCAAGAGGGTAATAATACTTCAAGGAAATAGCAAATACCAAAAACTGCATAATAATTGTTTCTTACAAATTGACTCGCGGTCGAATACTCCGTGATGTCATAGAGTGGCCCGTGGTGACGTCAAGGTATCCCACGTAGCCGCCAGACACTCAGGGCGTCATAACAGTATTGCCACACTCGCCAGATTTTGTTTTTATTTGATCCTTTTATATAGACTCCCTAATATGTTTCAACAGTGAGGTTTGATATATAATGTAGTGAGAATTAGACATAAAGTACATATATATTGTCACGTATGGGTCGTATGCGTCAGAATTTTAACGGGAAAGAGTTTTTATTAAAAGGAAAGTTGCGTTTTGCCTGCAGTAGTACGAGTCAAGGACTACATACTAATCCTTGGTATGAGTCACATGTGCACAGACCAGTACTACAAAGTTGTTTCTACCGATATAAACCGGTTTGAAAGTGTAAGCGACGGTTTCTACCGATATAAACCGGTTTGAAAGTGTAAGCGACGGTTTCATCAGGTATAAACCGGTTTGAAAGTACTGTATACACCACCAGTTTCAACCAATGTGGACGGAAGTGTGGGCAGAATTTACCTTGAGTTGGAATGAACTAACAAAGATGAGTTGATAAGCACTACTGAACACCGAGGTAAAGAGAAAATTTTAAACTGAAAACAGAAAATTTTCGTCATACATACACACGGTCGCAAACTTCACACGGACAAACCCTCGAGAAACGACTGGATAGAATACGAGGATGGGTGGATCGAGATGACCTGTACACATAAAGAGCTCCGAGCTTTCCCTTGTACTTCGAGTCAACTTCAGTGTCCTTGACGATGACTTTATGTTCACCTCTACACCCTGAACCACGAATCCCGAACTCTAGACCCATGAATCTGAAGCAGAATAATGTATCAGTCTACTGCTTCGGGTTCACGAGGCTGAAGTTCGTGGTTCGGGATGTGAGAATTCTGTTTGTATGTTGATCTGGGTGCTTCAGTTGTTTCTTTGTTGATCTGGGTGCTTCAGAGGGAGGGAAAAGAGAAGGGAGGGGAAGAGGAAAAGAGGGAAGGAGCTCTATATAGCTTACGTTAGGTTAGGTTAGGTGATGAGGCGTAGAGAAAACAAAACCACCCGCACTCAACCTTCAGAGGAAAATGTTGTGCGTGTGTGTGTGTGTGTGTGTGTGTGTGTGTCAAGCTATTCTACTGCTTTCTGATGGCAAGAGAGCTTCACCACCATGCACACAACCAACATTTACCCCCCACTACTATAACACCCCTCCGTACTCAGACTAGCTTTTGGGGGGGGGGGGGGAGGAGGGGGCGGGGGGCTCTTATGCTCTTCGGGTACACTTCTTTCCTTTGTGAATCAAACTCGGACCATTCATTGTCACAGATGCATAACAGCCTTGTAAATCGTGTCGCCTTTATTTTAACATAACCCAATGTCCTTCCCCACACACAAGAGGATCACATTAGACACCCCAGTTTTTTCACCTTAAGATTAACCATCCTAATCTAATCTAACTGAACTTAATCTAACTTAACCTTATTTAACCTAATCTAATAAAATCTAATCTAACCTAACCCCCTCAGGTAACGGAAGGGTGTTTAATTATCATCAGGTAAAATAAGCTGGGGTTCTAATCTTCATGTGATGCAGAAACACTGTAAGTCTAGTAAGAGCCGTCGCCGCAAGGAAAGATGACACCAGGTAGGGCAGACCAACCCGGGGAGGTAATGTCTGACACAAGCACTGTTGGCCAGACTGCTGTGTCGCCTTTCTCACCCTCTTCTGGGAAGCTTCTACTATACTTGGGAAGTCCTAGACACTTGTCGCCATATACTGTATATCCTTCCCGCCGTTCCTTCCAGTTTGGACTTTAGAGAAAGAATTCTTCGGTGTTAATTCGTTGAAACATACATTTTAGCTATTATTCAGGAAATTGCTTAATGAGTTTTAATTAATGTTATCGTACTGAAGGTAAAGATACACTTCTTCGTATTAAATAATTGTTAAATACAATACTGTAGAAATTATTCGATGACGCGCTAGTACGGGAAGCACCCGCTTGCTAGCTAGCCTATATAAACACTACGCGCGGTTTGAGAGTTCAGTCTGGTGCTGGACGCCGAGCGGTGAGGGGCTAAGACTCTGCTCAGGATTTACCCGCTTACGGATTACTGTTTATCTAAGTGAAGTGTACAGTGATATTCTTACCAAAGGATTTTAACGCATCGACTTTCTCCTAAGAAAGAAAATAACCAAACCATGTTTTACCCAGTAAGTGTAATCTGTTGTACTGGTAACAACGAAGAACCAATTACCTGTAGAATGTATATACTGTATACGATTTGTTGTATGGTTTATGTGTGTATATATATCACATTTGTCCGAGTGAATCTCACTACTATATTCTTTAAAAAAAATATTGTGCAGTGTCTTACCAGCCTCCTTTACTAAATGGATGTATCTTGTTTCAGATGGAGGAGCAGGGATCCCACATTAACAAGCTCATCGAGGAAAACAGAAGATACATCAGGGAGAGTGGCAAGATGAAGAAGACTTGGGCGCGCGACGCTCACGACACCAACATCGAGGATACCCACAACCGCCTGTACAACACAGCAGACGACGCCGACGACCTCGCCAACCGAGTGTTTGCCCTACAGCTACAGAACAGCGAGCTGAATGTGTGTCTGGAGAGAGAGAAGAGGAGAAGAAAAGAGGCAGAGGCAAGACATGAAAGAGACGAAGGCTACATTAAAAGACTGGAAGACAGTGTACAGGTAAGCAACTCCCTTAATTGTTTTACATTTATATCTCTGTTACTCCCGTCGAAAATAAATGTTTTAAATAAGACAAACATAATTACGACACACTTCTTATCAATTGGTCGAGCTTTATGTCACACACACTAACCACTATCTCTTGGCTGTTACCTCTGCTAAATTATAAGGTCCCAGAGGCCTTTTCAACACATCATCATTCACGATACTTCAAATGAGCCAGACAACTGACCACGGAAGGCAGCAGGCTAGGTAGGTAGGGCCTTGTATCTTAGTACCTCAAGAAATGTCAAGGGTCCCTAGTGTTTATCCGGCTCCTCACACAGCCACCATGCGAAACAAATTTGAAGAAAAAATACATTAAAAGTATTTGGTATGATTTTCTTATTAACAACAAACATAAGTATATAAGAAGTATTTCATAGGAAAGTATTTTATTATATCGGGGGTGAGGAACTACTTCTATAACACGTTTGAGTCCTGAAAAACAAACCCTCTCCTAATGCCATCAACGAGAGAATTAATACAAACACGTAACAAACCACAAACGATACAACAATTATTCCATCACCGTAAAGATCATTGTCAATCCAGAAGAGGAAGCAGAAGAAAGTGAAATGTTACACTAAGGCTCAAAATGTACACGTTTAGAGAGAGAGTATCGACGGTGTTGGCAGAAGGTGAGCACCTCTTTGATCTCAGGTAATTCCCCCTCCAGGTAAATTCACCCCCCCCTCCCCCCACACACACACAACTAGAAGCAGGGTGTGAGTGGCAGTCCTTGGCCACATGTTTTTATTGTCCATTTTTTACATCCAAGAGAAATGTGGATGATCATTTTGTTCTCTGATGTTTAGTTTTGAAGGCGTCTATTTTTTTTTTTTGTGTAGTCACGGTATCATGCGGTCGTTTCACTTTACGGTAATGAGGAGTTGGCATTTGTGTTACATTTTGTTCCGGCTGCCGGTGCTCGTAGATTGAGGTGTACGGTCGTAATCGTACTCAGACGCCGTACAGTATGGCTAAACTATTCCTTACATAGGTAGCATATAAAAAAATGCCGTATGAGAAATTAATATCAATTTCAGATTATCATACACGCAGGCATATATACTGTTCAGATTATCATACACGCAGGCATATATACTGTTCAGATTATCATACACGCAGGCATATATACTGTTCAGATTATCATACACGCAGGCATATATACTGTATATGTATATTTTGTTGAATAATGTATGAAGTTTTAATTTACTTAAAACTTATGCAAAAAATGAAGCCATAACGCAGTGAATATCAGAACTCGTTTATAGTCAGTACCATGTCTACTAGGGTGTGACACAAGCTTTATCACATATATGTTGGCTGGTACAAGGCGTTGGGAGCTACAACACTTATATGCCGCGCCCCTGAAGATAACGAACTATTGCAGCCTTTACAAGAGAGATGGGAAGGTCTGTTGCCCGTAAAGACACTGCTACCTTGCCCGGGTCTCAACCTAGGTCCTAGAGAGTGTTGATACGAGGTAGGGACAATCGAGGAATGGCACTCAGGTGTGTGGGTTGACGACCACCACCCACAACACCAAATGACATAGTCTGATGACATACATATATGTTGGTGTTTCAATGACAAAGTGTAGCAACGCTGAAACAACAACATGCAACACGGAGGAAAAGGTTGAAAAAAAAGTTGGTGAGCAGGAAGCTGTGTGATCCCTGGCGACACCCCCCCCCCCCCAGTACCTGCCGGGGATATACCGGTAATTTATACGTCATGCAAGCACTGTGAAACCTGCTGGACATTTCAGGGGGAAACGTGCCTCAACTCTTGCATGACAATATTGTACCACCACACACACACCATCTCCAGGACCTTACTTAAGTTTTTAATGTGTTTTATCATATACAGTACATGTATATACAATTCCTCTTAGACTATTTTCAAATAAAACACACATGAAAATATAAACTGACATAGGGATACGGTAAATATGTGTGTGTGTGTTATCAGGGGAGGTGATAGGGAATTTCCCGGGTGTGTGTGGTGAGGTGGTGGCAAGGCCAGCTCAGCACCGCTCACTTCCCCGTGGTCGACGGCCTGCGGCTCCTGTACCAAACATTGTGAAACTTTTCACTCCGCCTCGTTCTACTTCATCTCTTTGTTAAGAGTATTAGGTCAACTCTCTGCACTACTGTATTTTTTATTATTTTATTTTTAAGTCACGTTATGGTAAATAATTCTATAAACTACTCAGTGTTGAGAGTGAGTGAGACTGTGGCTTAACATTCACCGTCAGGCTGAAGGTATCTCAGACAATCTACGTGGTTTACACTGCGTTAACTGACGTGTGACGTCAAAGGTTAAAAAAACAGGAACACAAATTAGCAGCGACCTCTTAATATAGATGCAGTAGTTCACTGTATGCTTTTGATGTAACCTTCAGTGATGGAATGTTTTATAACCTAATTATTAATGAAGGACTTTTCGCACCAGGTGATATGAAGAAGTATAACACATGATGGGGGACAGGACAACAAACTGACGTGTATTGTTTTGTTTACAGACTCTGCGAGGCACCCGGGTGGTGATGGACCCAGGAACATACCGGCAGGTGGCTGAGGCTTACATGGCCAACCGTCGCACGCCCGCACGACGCCCTCACACCCACTCTGGCCTCCCGGGCTCTGACCTTGTATGTGACTCTTCCCAGGATTCATCTATGGTACGTATCTCAGTTATCACAAGTATCTGAACTATCAATCATATGGTTATCTCACGTGATGGTCACAGTACCGCCAGACGAGGCTAACACTCACGGTCCTTTTTTTGTTCCTTGCAGAGTCGCCAGAGGCTGTCACACTCCTCCAGTTATCCATCCTCGCCCAACTCGTGTTCTTCCCCGTGTTCTTCGCCAAAAATGTATCCGTCCCTCTCATCTGAAGACTCCCAACTGTACCCAGCTGAAATCCCACTCTCGAGAGGTCGCAACAGCAAGACGAAAAAGGACCGCGGCCACAACCCTCACGATCTCGGGCTAGGGTTGGGGGTAGGTGGAGGCGCCATGAACCCTTGGGACTACCAGAAGCTACTAGAAAATTTAGAAGACCTCGATGGTGCTAGTAGAGGAGCCTTGTCCTGAAGAAGAGACGAAACTGGCTGTTGAATCCCAAAACAGTATTATATCTGAAACTTCCTTGTGGATATTTGAAGACTTGGCATCTTTCGTGCAGATGTGTCAACAATATTTACATGGACAGGAAGACTGCAGAAAGCCTGTCAGTACTTCGAGTCTTGCTGGAGGCCCCTGTGCCCTGCCAGGTGCGCCACATTATCACGTGCTGCAAGTAAGCATTGTCCAAGTGATTTGTCCTTCAGCGTGGCGTGATGTCGGTGTGACCAACTCTGTTGACCAATGGTGCTGTTTTCTACTGTGTCGTGAAGAGGTTATCCAGAAGATGATGATTGATCCAAATAATACTTGTCGAGACTCAGATGTTGATTATGTTCATCATTATGTATTAACTCGCAATCTGTGATAATTAATGAGACTACGCTGAGTCCTTAACCTCCTGCGTCATGTGGTCAGTACAAATTTACTGCCATACAGAATAAAATAATTAATATTCAAAGCGATTTTACATACAGTATAACGTATATATTATTTAACAGAAACATGATTTAGTAATGCTCCACAAACCATAATCATATAACTGATGTCAAGTTGATTTAGTGCCAAAGATTCCCAGGATTGTAAACCTTACAAGATGAATCTTTGACAGCAGAAGATTGTGTGGACATTGATGTAATTCTTTGTGCCATAAAGGTAATATTACTGAACATTCAATAACAGAAGAGGTGAACTTTATGTGAGTCCCACGTTCACCACAGTTCATCGAGAACACCAATCTACCCGTTCATGTTGCTCAGATATTGACAGTTCTGTTTGAAAACTTTGAAGGGTTGAAACAGTAACGAGAATCTGCTTATCTTGACTTGAGTTACTTACAATTACTTAAGATAGAAACGGGTACAGCACGCGCCTCCTGTTCCGGGGGTAGGTGGTTCGATTCCCAGAGGCTCCCAGTTCACCCAGCTGTAAATGGGTACCCAAATTTACAACTTGGGGAAGGCAGAAGGGAGCAGCACAGGCCGATGGGACCCACTCTCAAGATGTTCACAACTGACTGAACCAAATAATAAATTGTCATTGATCTTCTCTCATGTTATTTGGTTACTTACGATGTTCAAATATGTCTGAAAACTTTAGGTGACAATAACTGAAATAATACCATGGATTATGCAGGTGGATGACTGTGTTGACAAGAACAAGGGTAGATGTATTAAGTTACCATACAGTGGATGTTATCAACAACTTTCAACATTAAATTATTGGAACTGTCTTTTTTATATAATGGTTCATCTCATTACCCTCAAAGATGTATACAGGTATTTAACACCTTCACTTCGGGGACGCCACTTTTAGTATTTTATTTATCTAACACCAGACGATTTAATTCAGCTCAGAGGTGACCCCGTACACCAGGGGTTAAGTATACAGTTTATTGATATTAACCAATACCATATTTTCTTATTATTCAGTAAATATAAATTTTACTTAAGGAAAACCTCACACAAACAATGTACAGTAAATTACTATACACAAACTACTTGACAACAAGGCTGTAATTCCATTCACAAGGAAGAGTAAAAAAAAAAAAAAATATATATATATATATATATATATATATATATATATATATATATATATATATATATATATATATATATATATATATATATATATATATATATATATATATATATATATATATATATGTATGTATGTGTGTGTGTGTGTGTTTTGGGGGGAAGAGGGGTAGCTACCAACATTAATAATTACTAAATATTGAAATGTACTAAAATAATTTATTACAATTTAACTCTCGAAAAGCACTAATAGAAAAAAAGGGATAAATTTGAAAACAAAGATATTATCAGCTGTCCACAGTATGTTAGATGGTGGAGTGGTGCATCAAGGAATACAAAAACTATACACAAACAAGCAAAGGCAAGTTTTACTCACAGTTCAAAATTACTGATACGATTACGGGGAACGCCTAAATAATAATCTTCCAAAACGAGTACATGGAAGGTCGTGGATTCACCTGTGGTTCGTTTATACTAAAGCTCACTCATGAATCTCTGATGAGGAAGGACTACAGTATAATAGCGCTCAAGGACGGGCATAATCTCTCTCTCTCTTAAATAAATAATCATTTCCTGGTCAACAACTCACAGCATCAAAAGAAACTACGTGCCTGGCGTGTTGATCTAAACTACAGTCTAGTCACACATTCATAAGATCAGTAGTTACCGGGAGATGTTCTTAAATACATCATTAATATTACAAGATGATTCAATACGAGCCAACAGTCATATTCCTGGTGCAGTTGTCCAGCAGTCCTGATAACTTGACTTAATCACCGAATACTGTATAGTGTCACGGATGAATCTCTTAAAAAAATATTGCCCCTGATTCTCATAGGTAGGTTAAAATTAATCGACCGTAATAGAGCACAAAAGTATCTTAACTGGTTAACCTTAGCAACGACACAGCTGGTAGCCTTACTGGCAATACTGTAAAGTTAGGAATATCTAAACAACTGTGATCTCTGTCAATAAACATAATATGCTATCGTTGTCTTTTAAATCCCTAAGAGCAACTGTTTGGTCCATTTATTAAACCGTTGAATAAATGATAATGAAGAGTGCACTGTACTGGTGGATGAGAGAACACACACCTACCTCCCACCCCAAGATACAAGTCAACACCCGGTCCTGACCACTAAGTCACGATGGCATATCAAGTGAGGCCCAGGGAACCTCCTGTTGATAAACGCCCTCCTGAAGGCCTCCCTCACCTCCACAAGGCTCTTGGGACCTCCTTCATCCTTTACACCTCTATTTATTTTTTCATAACACTTTCGCCACTTATCAGATTACTAGCCATTCGGGCGGTTGGTCTATTCAGTGTTAGTACAGGAGGAAACTGGGGACCGGGAGACCTGTGATGTTTGGTAGAGATAACACCCTTCTCATGTGTGTCCGGGCAGAGGATCGAACCCTTGACATATTAGTGAGATACGCAAGTTATCGAAAAACAAACGCTATCCTCTTTATAAAGAAACAATACGAAAGATGTGAATATGAACACCGTCATCTTACACTGTTTTGAAATCAAGCTGACAGTCATTTCATTTATTACATGTGATGATTATCATTAAAGTTTTATGGGCTGAATTGAGTCGTATCCTGTAAGGGAAACTTTGTTGCATATGGGCAATGCACACTCTTCTGACATTGAAACCACCACCCACTATAAAAAAAATGCCTGGGAAATTTTAGAGTTGTCGTGATTTATTTAAAATTCAAGGGCATTTCAGAATAAACTCAGTTTTTAAATTCATTTCCTGAAAGAGATGTTTTTAAAAAGTAAAGTTCGCAGGACATGAATTCACTAACCTACCATGCATTACCCTCTTAGCCTAATCTTTCTGAGTGTTCGTACAGAAACAGTGGAAGTAACTGGGAAATATCATAAATACTGTAGAAGGCAATTTAATAATAAAAAAATCCCCCGCACTGACGCAATCTATCTTGTAACTGCAGCACACACACACACACACACACACACTAGATCAATAGTTAACTGGAAAAATTGTCAATGCATTAATAAATTTTAAAATAATACAACGCAAGCCAACAGACTAAGTCCTTAACATCAAATTATCAACACTACATAAATGATTTGCTACAAAAGTACGACCAAACACTTGCTACGCGTTTTCAGAATACTATTTCATCTCTAGTGTCCAAGCATAGTCAATAGCTTGCACTCGGACATAAGAATCGCAGATAATGATCATTGTCTCATAACCATTATTTTCTTTATATGGTCGAAATCAATTAGGTATGAACTTAATTTTTTTCTTGGCCCAGTCTAAAAAAAAATATGAAAATGCTCATGTATCAAGTAACTAAACATAACGAACGGAAATGTGCTTGGTAATTCAATTTGTTTTATGATTAGTGAATTAAATCATGATGATAATCCTGCACAAAAATTATGATTAAAATATTATAAATGATAATGTAGCGCAGTAAAGTTCACATTGAGCTTCAAACAATATTAATACTGACCCACACAGCATTGTGCAATTTGCTCTCAAAACCAATTTATTTGATAATTAGACTATTTACAAACATTATACACGCCCCTTACACTTGAGCTATTGGAATAAAAACGAATATTAACAGGACCTAACTTACCTTACCTAATCTACTATTTCAATACAAGAAAATCGATTCCTAATTAAAAAAAAAAGAATCCTGGTGATAATGGTAGACAATCTGAAATGCCTATTGGGATAAAAATGAATATTAACCGTAATTAGCCCTCTGCTTATGTGAGTGTGTTTACCAAATGACTGCAATGTTTTTAGATCACTATGGAAAAGAAAATAGTACAAATACAGACATTATATTGTTAAGGAAAAACCCCAGATTTGATTTACTTTTTCGTTCAACACAAACCTGATTCTCATAATAATTCACCAAAGAAACTACGTATGACTAAACCAAACCTCAACATCAATGGGTAATACTTAAAGGCTCGTATATACAAATTTGGGGGAGTTTTTAACACCTTACCTTATAAAACACAATATGAAAGCTTCTTCGGTCGTTTGCCATTCTTGTCCTATAATTCTTTAAGTTTTCATACTTCCTTCAGTACTGGTTTTCAATCTCGTGTACACAGTTATTAACAGTAATTCACCTTCATCAAGCGGGGGAGTGTAGGTGAGTTGTTCCTCGTCCACGGCTGTTTACTACTGACGGGGCCGGGGAAACTTTAATGACCAGGCGTGCCAACCCGAAGTGCACCGTATGTAGGATCACTTATTACTAAAAAATTATAATATATCAAGGACAATTCATCACCGGTCAATAAATAGGTAAATATCTGACACCACATCCTCCACTCGGTTTGTTGTTAATGTCCTGTAGGAATGATGAAAGAGCATCAGTTATAATAATTGTTGTCTCATTAGGCTCGTCTGCGGTGCATATCTCATTTGTTACTGATTTTTTCAAAGGTTCTTGGAAATGCAGTATAAGTTTTCGAAAGTTCATAAATGTAGGACAGTTTAGATAAAGATCTTGCGATGTTAAGTTTTGGAAAATTCTTAATAAAAATGTGTAAACTTTAGAAAGTTTTATGAAATGGATGAGTTTTTAGAAAGTTCTTGGCCAATTTCGAATTAGGTTCGGAAAATTCTTGATAAATTAGATTAGTTTTACAAAATGCTTAGGAAGATAACGAGACGACCACTGGCGATGAGGATAAAAGTAAAAGTAAACCTTGCAGGACTATTCTTAAAGTATACCTGACCACAAATTCTTAAGTACAGTACCTGGATACCTAACCACAGATTAAGTATATGTGACCATACCTCGTATAACCCATCCATCTTTATCCTAGGGCTACACAACTTTTCCGAATGTCTTGTAAAATATCCAGGTTTCATGCGGTTAACTTTCTCCGACACATTTCCTGGGCGACGTCAGTATGTCCTCCACAGGTGAGGTCAAGCCACCCTGTGTCCGCTGTCCACACACACTCTCTTTCTCACACGAACATAACCATTTTAACAATTTTTAGATGGTAACAAACCAATTAGACTTAGCCTAAGTGTAACCAAAATTACCCTAACGTTATCAGGTTTATCATTGGCCGTTTTAAACCTTGCCTCTCACCCTATATTTTACATTACATTATACTATACATCATTCTTCAGAAAAAATAAGAATTGGGAACATTCAGGTTATACTGTATATCATCACGTATTGCCTTTCTTTCCTGACAGGTAAACAACCAATTGTTAGACTCGATCTCCCTGGAGTTAGTGGACTCCCTTGGCAAGTGTTTCCGTGTCAAGTGCATGTTAAGTAAACCAGGTGAGAGAATTTCCTTCACACACACACCCTAGCCTCGACTCCAGGTGACGGCTCCTTTTATCTCACCATTATAAAAATAAAGAATACAGTACATTACAAATCTGTTTTTCATCAATATTCTTCGTTTCTTACATTCCCTAGTATACACCTTTATTTACCCTCCTGTGTATCAGTTATACCTGTATTATAATTTATTCTAGCAACGCCACCCACAGCTGTCACCGTCAGTTGGAGACCATCCAAATATCACATTGAGGGTCAACCTGGTCATTTGGTGTACTCCAGCAGTCTTGGGTTGATTCACTTTACTGACACTACCACCAGGAAATGCCACCGTAGCTTCAGAGAGCGATTGGTTATTTCCTTTTGGTTTACAACCAGGTTTTTTTTTCTTAAACAGGAAACTTCATTTTTATTAGAGATGAAATCTTTCTGATCCACTGTGTTCGACTTGTTTGAACTCTGACCTCTATATCACCACGGCAAAGTCACACACAACCTCTCATCTAAAGACCTGAAAATGCCCGATTTTTTTCTTCTTATTTTTACCTCTGTGTGATATATATATATATATATATATATATATATATATATATATATATGGGCAACAGTTAAGTAAATAATGCAGACATTTTGAAATACTTGAAGGCTCTGATGGAGCATGTAGAGTTTAATGAGTGAAGACTAAATAAATTCATTTGATTTTTCCCAAGCAGTCCATTTGAACTGTCAGATGTTAAGAGGTCAGAAACCAGCTTCATTAACCTCATGTACAGGGTCCCCTCTGAGCTGAATAAAATCGTCTGCATTAAAAGTGGCATCTACGCAGTGAAGGGGTTGATGATCAAGTAATTTTCTTTAAAATTTCACAATGGCGATACAGTAGTAAGACGCATAAAAAGGTCTAAATCAACTTGATTAATTTTACAGAATAAAAATGCTTTTCTGTTTCAAAATATGGATCATGGTTTTCTTAAGAATTATTTGTTAAAATAATTAATGTACCATACAATACTATATTTCCTTTCACCAAACATTTCCACACAAAAATCTGTATAAAACAGGAACTTTGTAAGACTGGAACACAATTTGTTTTTGGGGGTACAGATGTTGACCTTTATACGATTGATCTACAAGCTATCAGTTTTACGATGTTAAGAAATTAACACCAAATATCGCTATGCAGTTGTTCATGAAAATTGCAATGCAGGTAAGATGGCATGCCATTATCAAAAGTAAGAAACGCTACAATTTGAAATACCAACAGTTCTGTCCAACCAGCCAATATCTTTCTGCTGTACTAAACACAGCTATACAAATACAGTAACAGTAGATATTACTGTACAAAGAACATGTGACAAGAGAATCACACTACATAATTAGTAATACACCCTATAAATACACTTACATTTCTAGATAAACCTGTAAATTTGGATTCTAAAATAAAGGTCTTAGCTCCCATGCCCTCTAGAAGTGCCAACAACCATGTGCACAGCCAAAAAATCTCCAAAGCTAACATTACTGATGATATTTATATTTTGTAGAAGAAAGCCAGATTCAGCAGATATGCAATGAAAGATAACTCATTATTAGTGTTGGGGCGTTGGTGGTACAGCAGTAACATGCGTATCTCTCATTAATATGACAAGGGTTCACCTCCTACTTGGCCCACACACACGTGAGAAGGGTGTTATACAATGTGACCCTACCAAACATTACTGGTTTCCCAGACTCTGGTTCCTCCTGTACTAACACTGGATAAACCAACAGCATGAATGGCTAGTAAACTGATAGTAGTTATATGATAAATAAATACAAATTTCTATGACAGTAATCATTAATCTTGTACACATATCCTGTCATTAGCTGTGTAAAGTACTTCCTTTACAGTACAGTAATCTTTCATTTTCCCAGAATTTTTGATCCTTGGAACTCTCCATTCCAATGGTATATTTTGTTTATTTACAATAAATTGTATGTGTATAGTAGTGTCTGCATAATTAAATACAGCTCCGAGTCTGTCCAACTGCAGTTCGATGCGGAAATATTCATCAGTGCCCGGAAAAATTCCAGAAATAAGAAAATTCGTCTCAATAATGTACAGTAGTAGTTAATCTCTCAAACCTGAACTACTCTGCACCAATTATTCTGGCAAACAGGGAGATTACTGTACAGTACAGTTGGTCTACTTATGAAATTCAATTTCCTTACCTTTCAACCAGGTGGAAGGGTAGATAGTACTATACCATAGATTGATTTATTCTTTTTTATATAAAGAAATCAGCACATATGAAATGATTTCAAGACAATTACGACATTGGTAAAATACATTAGTTCTATGAATGTATTTAGTTTTTCTTAAATCATAGTAAACATGAATGAAATTATTTGGATGCTGGTTTCATGTTATCTATACAGTACATGTAATACTACACACAGCACCTGTGTAACTTGTAACCCCTCAAAAAAGAAATAAAGAAAATATGGTATCTCATTTTATGCCAAAATCTGTACAGTACCGTCACAGAAAAAGTCCTATCAGCCCTCTGTCCCATCCATGAACCTTGCAATTTATGAACCAGTGAATCTGAGACATCACAGATTATTGAGACTATAGGTGGCACAATGTGCAATGTTTCGGATTTGCAGGTTCATAAGTTTCAGGGTTCATGGATGGGACGAAGAGCTGACAAGACTCTTTTCCATGACAGCACTGAACGATGGTTAAAGAGTACTGTACTGTATCTAAATCTCCTGATTTTTATACCTACTGTCCACAAAATCCATTTACTGCTTCTTACAGAAACCCTTCCCAAGATCTTAACTGTTACTGTAATTACTAATGTACAGAACTGTATATCTTATCATAATGGCTAACATTTACCTAATAGGGTCTGAACCACTGTGTGGGCATACTTCTAAAAGTTGATATTTCAAAACATATTGTACAGTAGTTCTTATTTAATATAGCTTTTTTACTGCTTTACATATTAAGTCGTTTGATGAAAATGTGCACTATACTGTGCTTGTGAAAACAATAATCAAAGCTTTAGTGCAAATCATGATTAGGAAATGCACTACCAGTGAGTATTGAATTAATTTCTGCTTAAAACTTCAATACATAAACTGAATTTTCATGTAGTTTTCTATCTAGTGTGATTTTTCACCATGGGCTCAGTTATTTCACCAAAAGTGTTGATCGTTGTACAGTATTCTCGTTAAAGTACACGTACTGTACTGTTCTTGAAACACTGAAAATGCAAATGCAACCATTTTCATATAATGTGCAATACCTGTACTGTACATGTTTGTTATACCCTTGCAGATATCTTGTGCAATATCAAAAACTTAGAAAAATAGCTTCTGAATTATTTTATTCAGAACAAATATTCAAAATATAATGGTTGTACACAGTATTTCCATAACATTTTATTCATAGTCTGCCTCTTACTTGTCATGGTTTAGAAGAATTAAAAAAACTAAAATGAACACTTACCCCAACATAACTTGAAAACATTAAATAAAATTAATTTTAGATATTAAAATACCATATGAAAAGGTACAAATTGTATAAATGTTCTGCTAGGGAGATATCGCTTGAAAAATAATATAACTAAGTCTCTTGTTGAACAAATGGGTTTGCAATGGCTTCACATCCATCCATTGGACATATAAGAACAACAGCAGTTCCTCGGCATACTACTAACCCTCTCTCCTTTGTATCTTCTGTTAGTTTGTAGGGATCATCTGGGTCTGAAACAACGATGATATTGCATATTATTGTCTACAAGAAGCAAGGAATATCGTACAGTATAAATATCATTCGATTGAAAACATAAAGAAGATCACGTACAGTCACAGAAACAAGTTCTGTTAGTCCTCTTTCCTGAGGTTCATGAGATCCGAGACATCACATGACCCAGTGCACCACCGATGGGCCTAACAATGTGCGATTTCTTAAGTCTCACAGGTTCGTGAGCCTCAGGAAGTAGGACTGACAGGACTTGTTTCCATGACTGGACACTACAAATACTGTGTACCAGAAACAAGAGAGATCCTGTTTTAGCTCCGTCTGCTGGAAACAAGGAATATCTCATTTATATTCGGCACAACCTTCAAATTGTCTTTCTTTCTTCTCTTTAACCTACTTACCATTGGTATAACATTAAAATGAAACTAAATATTTAAAAAGATACTCATACTTACACATCATGTACTGTATCTATTTAATTCATAACCTTTGAACTGCTACTGTACATGTACTGTTTACAGGCATCCCCACATTATGGAACCTCTTGTTACCAAATTTTGCTGTTAAGGAATTTTGAAATTATGACCATGATTTGGGGTTACGGTCTTCCCACACACACACACCCAGCAGCAGAGCATGATGTAGTCTTTTATAACTCCTGCAACCTTTGTCCCCAGGCCTGGAGCAGAAAGTTTGGGAGAGATTTTCTCAGAATTTTTCCAAAAATTAAAGCATCTGAATTTGCACACCCTCGAAAGACATAGAGAGGGGCGAAATCCTCTAGGTGTACAAATAGAAATCAGGATTAAGCAAAGGTATTTAAACTACCCGGTATCTAACCTGGAGCGAACTCATAGCAATGGTTTTAAATTAGGAGTGAAATAGGTAAACACTGGTTTGGAAATAGAGTAGTGGATGTGTGGAACAAGTTACTGAACACCATCATTAGCTCAAACACGCTGGGTAGCTTCAAATATAGGTTGGATGGATATAAGAGCGATATTTGTTGGGTGTAAACGGAGCTGCCCAGTATGGGCCAATAGGTCCGCTGCAGTTGCCTCCATTCTCATGTTCCTATTGCACATTATTTCATCCTCGGAATTTGTTCCCAGACCTGGAGAAAAACTATTTTGAAGAGATTTTTCAGAATTTTCTCTGAAATTTTCCAGAAAACGCAACTGATTTTCAACCTCGAAAACTCGTTCGCAGACCCAGAATTGAGACAATTTTCCAAAAAAATTCCTGCTGTTGGAGAGTTCTGTGGACTGGCTGTATAACCTTTTATTACCCGAGATACGTAGTTATGTTCATTAATGAGGCGAGTATGCTGACCATTTCACCACAGGTCATATATATGCCAGTACAGTACATTACAGTGCATTATACAAATCACACTTACCTCTTAGATATTCAATGGTGTTGTCAAGCACAAGATTTAACAACTGATCAAATCCTTTTAAGATTCCAGAAGCTTCACGTCCACCAGAAAATTTGACCCTTATAGCCTTGTCTAAGTACTTGCTCAAATCAAGAATGGATTCCTTCCTCTTCTTATCTTTCTGTTCTCCATCTCGTCCTCCTTCTCGACCTCCTTCCCTGCGCTCTCCTCCACCTCCTCCTTGTTGCTAAGATGACAAAAACGTTTAGTTATATTTTATCCACATTTATTTGTCTTAACAGCAAAAGTCAGGAAACTATAGAATACCACTACTCAGTTAGTATTAGCAGGCAATCGTCTTTAGAGGTCTGCTTTAGAGGTGCAGTGAAACTTGGCTGGAATTTACGATTCCAGCCATAACCATCACAAAATATCTGGCCACAGCTGGAATGTTTATTTTTCGTAGTGGATGTAGGTATGGCAGCCGTATTGATGAACTGTGTTGTTAATGGTTAAGTTATATGGTATGGTAGGGTAGGTTGTAGGGTAGGGTAGGTTAGGTTGTAGGGTGAGGTAGGTTAGGGTAGGGTGAGGTAGGTTAGGGTAGGTTGTAGGGTAGGTTAGGTTGTAGGGTAGGGTAGGTTAGGTTGTAGGGTAGGGTAGGGTGAGGTAGGTTAGGGTAGGGTGAGGTAGGGTAGGGTAAGGTAGGTTAGGGTATGGTAGGTTAGGGTAGGGTGAGGTAGGGTAGGGTAAGGTAGGTTAGGGTGAGGTAGGGTAGGGTAAGGTAGGTTAGGTTATAGGGTAGGTTAGGTTGTAGGGTAGGGTAGGTTAGGTTAGGGTAAGGTAAGGTAAGGTAGGGTAGGGTAGGTTAGGTTAGGGTAGGGTAGGGTAAGTTTTATATAGAAATAACCCCATTATAACACATCTGGCCAAACTACGAGTGTCCACTGTAAAGGTGAAATTTCATTTTTTTTTAAATTAAATTTCAATGTAAAATCAGCGACGGGTATATCATCAATAATTACCCAAACTACACTCCTATAGACATAATTTAAGATAAAAATCACTCTTCCTGTATGATATTAGCAAAAGAAATATCAATATAAGCATTACCAAACTTACTCTGGTCCTCAAGAGAATAAACAGTTGACAATTTGATAAAACGACAAATACACCAAATGATGATTTAGGTAAGATAATAGCTTAGTGATTATCTTAATATATATTCCAGTGATTATGAAGGGTATTTTAGTATGTATGAGGTAGTGAGTGATGCAGCTTACCGAGGCCATGTTTTGAAACGTTGTTGTGGAGGGGGAATATAGGTGTAATAGTTTAATGTAGGGAGGTTGTGTTTTAACTACAGTGAATTGTTATTATAAATAGAATATAGTTTATAGAATAATTAGTATTTTTTTTAATGTATTTTCTTTCAAATTATAATTAACACTATATTTATTTTACTACTAGTACTTCATAGTTTAGTAATTTTTATCAAGAATATCCTTCTATTTGGGTATTATAATTATAATATTAATCATTTATCAAGAACATTTCAATATTACCATTAATGTATAATAAGTTATATAGTCAATTAGTTTAGGCTCGTCATCCTGTAAACAACATGGAGGTCACCGTCGTCAGGTCACTTCACACACGACTCAGACAACTACTGTGGCATAGAGTAACTACCAGACACCTTAATGGAGTAACTTTAAAGAGGCCGTGTAGCTCATCAGTAAACAGATATAATGGTGAGTCAATAGATACATTAATGGTGTATGCTAATGAACCTCTTGGATAGGGGACATAATTAGATATTGGATATTTTTTATTTTTTATGATAATTTCAGACAAATACAAGATGATTTTATTCTATGATATTTTAATCGAATTTTACCCATAATCGAAATATCGTGAGTTGAAAATCAGAAAACGACTAGAAAAGGTTTTGTTGCCACCGTCCGGATCTTTTGGGAATTTTATCTTCGCATCATTATTAGCTAAGACACTTCTAAGACACTTTTTCTCCTATGATGTTTACCTCAGAAATGACCTAGAACTGGTTAGGTAGATTTGGTTGGTGCTATCAACGACGTATTACTCTGCTGGTACTCTGCGATCATATCTCTCTTAGGTTAGATTCTTTCATTTTCTCTGATAAATCATATAAGGTATCGGGTAGCAGATGTTGGTAATTTGTTCTAATGTAAGAAACGGTAATATAAATGTTTAAGATCACATTACTCGTTAAATTGATTATTGTTGAAAACTTGAGAACAAAAAGAGTAATGCTTTTTGGACTTTGTGTTAAGGCTAAGTACTGTGATGAACAGGAATAATCTAACTTAAATATAAGAGCTAAAATGTTTTACAGTTCATTTAATGTATTATGCACATTTTTTTTAAGAATTTAATGCAATTTGATAATTCTGGATTATGGCATGTTGTATGTGGTTGTGTTTTGAAAACTCTTGCATGATACACTATACAGCAATGAATAACTCTATCCTCTAATTTGATATGATTACAGTACATGACTGTAAAAAGGAAAATTACTAAGTTTATTCCATCTATGATAAATTTGAAAAACAATGGTTGTCCTAAACTAGCAGTTTTAGGGATATTGTTTAAAAATAAGCCAAGATAATTTCTTCATTAACTTCTATTTTCCAATAAGTGTTTTGTTATTTTCACCTGTTTTGCCAACTGCATTTAAATAAAACAAGATATTGCTGAACTAAGTCTGATATGAACAGGACCAGAGCAAAATTTAGTAAGACTCAGTGGTAAGAGTAGTCAAATTTTGATACAATAATGATCTTGAATAGATAGACTCTTGAGCTAATGTGTACCTTGTGGCAACAGATGTTGATCCAGCACCTGTATTCTTTGATAAAAATGTTCAAGAAATACTGAAGAGAGTTACTGGGTGCAACTTCAATGCAGTCTTTAGAAGAAGATATGACGAGAAACCACTCAGTCCACCAAGATATGAATTCCTGACAGAGGAGGAACTACAAGAGGTGAGGGAACATGATGATATGCTTTTGTTGTTTATGTAGGCACCTGAGTCCATCCAATGCTGAACATGGACAGTAAGCAGTGTACTGTAGTGCAGGCTAGTGTGTGTGGCAACGTTTTTGTGCTTATATACTGTATACATACCACTATACAGATAATAAGTCATATGAAGGTGCTACTGTAAACTGTATTGATCTAAAGTATAGCTAACTGATCACCAAATAAGAGGCAGAATTTATGAATGAGGAAGAATTTGATAGTGATGTCACACCCAATAATCTTGATAATAGCCATGAGAGTTCTGTCAATTGCTCCGAGTGTTTTATAGGCCCCACACAACAGGAAGAGGAATTTGGTAATGAAGGTGATACACCCGATTATCTTGATTGTGACCTTGGATGTTACCAATTGTTTTATATTATGGATTAATGTATACACTGAGAAGTATTGTTTCCCCCCAAAAATTGCTAAATAATTTGTATTTTTACATTTGGGGATTTTTTTTTAGGAACATATTTTCCTTCATATAAATGGTAGTAAATGGGGGAAATAGCTTTGATTTACAAAAGGATTTTCTGAAGCTTTTTTGTTTATAAATTGAAGCACTCCTGTACAACAAATTCAGTGCAAGGGAAGTATGAATAAAGTTTTCTTTTTGCAGCGCATGGAAGAGGCTAAGGGTGTTGTTGAGAAAATCCTTCAGATGCCACCTGTACTGAAGGAGCGCCAGCCTATAACTGGGATCTTATCAAGGGATCCTGCCCTGACTGGCTTTGACACTTGCAAATATATTTTCACTGATATTACTTTCGGTGTATCAGACAGAGTATGTTTATATCTTTGTTTTATATGTTATTGTTCAGGGGGCACAATAAATAGTATCACATCCTAATTCACAACAGAAGACTCCTTTATTCAAAGCAAATATAAGATTACATAGTTCAGTACTGTAGTTCTTGCTGTTTGTTAATAATTACACCAGATGTTGCTATTAATTTTTTTTAAACTGTTTTGCCCCAAACGCTTCCTCAAAATTTCATGTTGTTTGTATAATGCAATTATTTAAACAATGGTTCAAATACTTAAAAAATAGAATACTGTACAGGTATTAGATAGCTTTAGGGCATTATTACTCATACCTTTATTACATGGCCCATTTATTTCATATAATCAGAAACGTAATATTGTCGTGCGAGATATGGATGGGACTCTTCGTCATGCATCATGGGAAGAAAGAGATAGAATGAATCAAATTTACAACCCACGTCCAGGCCGCAAGTTAAAACAACCCAAAATTTTCCTTGAAGAAAACCTTCAGGTTAGATATCGACGATAAATTAATGTACAACAAAAAATAAATCTGGATATATGTTGGCATATCAGCAGTGATGTTAACTTTGTTCCACTGTAAGATGTTATCCTTATCTTTAGTTTTGCTAAACCATCTTACATGGTAAATGATGCACTGTATGAGCAGACAATTTAAACGAATTATATATCCGAACAGGGTGTACTGCAGAGGGAGAACTATGAATTTGTGCTGGATCGAGTTTGTGCACAATTTGAACCTGATGATCCGGAGTATCATCGCGTCTGCAGTATGGTTTATGAAGCGATTGAAGGGAAACGTCACTACCAGATGTTGCATTCAACCCGCCACTATGGTCCAATGTGTTTCTATCTTGTGTGGCATAGGAAGATGGATAATTTATTAATCAGTCTTATACAACAAGAAAAGTAAGTTGTCTTAAACCTTGGCATTTAAGGAAAGATTGCTCCATTGTAGAATGTGACAGAATCAAAACTAAAAACAAAGTCATCATAGAAGGAACAGTATAATGGAGTTTTCTATATAACTTTACTCGCTTGTAATTGTTACATGTAGACCTAGACAAGTCCTCTTTGATTATATCTGACATCACCTTTATAAAATGGTTGATGGTGATACACTTGTGTGAACAGGACACTGGATGCATAGTATTTGATATGGAGATATATTCCTAACTACATTATTTGTTACCTTTAAGTTATACATGATGGCTCAATTTGGCTATTTGTACAATAAGAGAACTGATTCATAAATATACCAGGATATATGGAGGTACATAATCCACTTCAATATTATTATTTAAGTGCTGATAAATACACCTGACCCTTGCAAATTCACAATTGTGAGACCTTACTTTTATCCACAGTCAAGTGAAAGAAAAAAAATCTTAATAGCTAGATACAGTTATTTTTAGTCATAGTGAAGGCCAGTGTAAGTAGGATGTATTTATTGTTTTGTATTTAAAGCCATATAACAAACTATATATGTCTACAGCTTGTCATCTTGTGCAGACATTGTGCAACTCCATCAGCTTATTCACACATCATCCAAGTCCATAGCATTAAATGTTGATCCCAAACAACACTTGGATTTTGTTAAGGTAAGTACCAGCAAGATTAATAGTTTTTTCTCTCTTTTTGCTTGATCGAGAATTGACAAATCTGTTAAAGGTATGGCTATTAACTTAATCTGTTTTATTAATCACTGAATGTTTTGAAATTACTTTTATTTACCTGTTTCTTTTGTAGGCATATGTTGATTATGACTCATTGCAACGACCTCAGCTGCAGTTGGCCATTCAAGCATACCAAGATATCATTCAGGAACGTCAGCAATATCAGGAGGAAATCAAAACAGCTCATGGATTATAATTTAACTTCTCAAGAGTAAAGAAAGAAGATGGGTCATACTTATGTAAGAAAGCATAGCAGTACAATTTAGTGATTAATATGTACAATATGGACATTTTTACTACAGTAGACCCTTGCCATAGGTTCCAAGAAATGGCACGAATTTGCAAAACCGCGAATAGCAACTTATACTACCTTAGTGCAGTACTGTATATACCTATACCAAACAATTGACCAGTTGCAGCAGCACTCGTCCCCTCTTTTAACTTATCTAATAATAAAACTTTCTTTGTCAGGGTCATCACTGACTTCTGTCTTTTACATTTCACTCCACTAGCACTAGGCAGTCTTTTTAGGGGCCATTTCACACATAAACACTAAACTTTTGAGAGTACAACACACAAGATGCTGTGTGGGGTGACTCGTTGTGCTGAGGGAAAAGGCCTGCAAGCTAGCCACCATCTGCTTACCGCGAATTGTCAAAATCGCAAATCAGTGAATGGCAAGGGTCTACCGTGTTTACTTTAATTCATTTATGTCACTTGTGTTGTAAATCTCTCTCCCTATTATTTCCCTGCAGCTTTTGTACCCCCTTGATTCAACTCCCACTAAGCTGGAGAATATAAATAGAGAGAGAAAGAGAGAGATGGGTATAACACTAGATGTATTGTATCTTTCTTGGCAGACCGATTGTAAATGCCTTTGTGTCTCTGAAAGCACAATCAATATCAGTTACACAGGAAAAATGGTTTGCTTAGTAAGTCTAGTTATATTTGTTTTAATCAAGAGTGTAAATATAAGCTTTCTTGTTGTTGAGAATGTTGTGATTGAAGAAGTCCATATCATGTAGAACAAGTTTTTAGTTCTTGTCTTGAGAAATCCATGTTAATAAATTTGAGTAAGAAACATACTATTTTTAATGAAATTTATTAATGACCACAAGAGAGAAATTTACCCCGTGACTTTATACAACTACGGCAGTCGTATATCCGGGTTGTTGTAAGTCGAGGAGTACCTGTATATTACTTACCGGTGATATTCCGATCATTTGAAATATCCTCCCAAAACTTATCCCAAATTCCTCTATTGCTGTGATCCTTCAGTGAAGTCATACATTGCCTTCCTCTCTTGCATGAGCGAGATCAACCTCTACATCACATTCAGCCATCTTCACCCTTTGGAGTATGGAATCTGATTGGCCTTGACAAACTGCAGGCAGGCAGCACCAGACTTGATGTTTTTGCTGTGTTGCGTCCAGTGTGAGTTGGCTTCATCAAAATTCTTTAACTGGTGGTGTCATATCGCGTCGTGACAGCTTGGTGTGAAACCAGCCTTACTGTGACGGAGGCTGGAGACAGAGAGCGTGCTGCGATGCACGGCGTCCCGCATGGTATTGTCATGTACACTACACATGTATCCAATGGAAATGCAGAACTAAGAAAATGCAGCCACAATCCATGTATAACCAAACCTCATGCCTGAGAATAATGAACAGGTATATGATGGTTGTACTTGTGAATAATCATATCCGTGAAGGTTAAACCCGCGAATGTTGAGGGTTTACTGCAATACAATACTGTACGTTAATAAATTTTTTTTTAATTTGATCTTTTGGCTGCAAACTTAAATTTAGTTCTCTGTCCAGTGAAGTTGGTAATATAAAGTACAGTATCTGTATTTTAGTATTACCTGAGTGTCACAAACTGCTGTCTTGTATTAATTTAAAAGTGGATGAAGTAATGAGCCACAATTCAACAAAGTAAAAGGCCTCTAATCCAAGGTAAAAGAAATCATGCGATGCAATTTCCTTAATGTCTGTAGATTTTTATTATAATTCCGTTAAGTTGGTTGCTAATAAAAATCTTAACACCAAAACCTCACTTGCAACATACAGGATCTCTCTCCTTCAAAACATTATGAAAGGAGCAAACTTATAATGTACAATAAATTACATTCTTATAAGTACAGATTTTGGGAAGAATTTGCACTTTCCATTTACAGAAAGAAAGCAATGTCTGGGACAAACTTAAATTGTTAACTCTCAACTAACAAAATAATTATAAACTCCTTTACAAACTTCACATCAACCTTGAACCTTCTTATCTTAGTCAATAAAAATGTACTTTAGTTCAAGAAAAAACAGAGTTTCTAATGTCACGCATCCCATTTAGAAACTGGTAAACTGCTGAAGCAATTATTCCTGGAATGCTGAAAATGGGATTCAATGTATTCTCTAGGCTCTTGTATTGGAGGGTAACTAATGCAGAACTTATACAATGGTCTCCTTTTGTACAATAGAAGAGTTCACGCAGAACCTTATCTGTACGCCAAGTATGTACCTGCATTTTAGGCCACTCCTGCAGAATGTGGTCCTTATTGATCTTGGCAGTGTTGTGCTACATAATAAGGGAGCTTGTGTGAAACCTATTTCATACACCAAATTCTTGATAGGGATTGTTTTTTTAGAACAGGATGAACTATGTAAACTATCAGCCAGTTACAAGAACCACAATCTTGATGGGAGTTGTCCTGCTATGTTGCAGATAGATCAATTGAATCTTTTTTCAATTATCAAAAATTTCATACATCCAAACAGTTTCCTCCACCAAGTCCTCTTTTACTCATATTCTTTCACTCTTCTTAACTTGGTTTCATAAAAGAACATATTTCCATGAGGTCAGCCCTGAACCTTTCAGGCATTAGAACACTAGAAAAATTAAACATCTTTGTCAAATCTCATAAAAACATCATTCACTACTCAAGTTACCTAAGTTAATATTTATCACATTGTCAAGACTGGTCCATCTGACTAATCCCATACAATACACAGCAAGATTCATGTCTAGTACATGAATGGTTGCTGCAACAAGTTGTGGCTATCAGAAGATTTATTTCCATTAAATATACAAACTTTCATTTAAAATTCCATTAATTTATGCACCACTAATTTATAAATTATATGAGCACTGGATTTCTATTTATTTTTGTGTAAGTTGAACAAATTAATTTTAGTGGTAGAAAATCTATTAGTCGGACAATTTACTATAAAATTTAAGTCTATACCTATGCCCAACAGTAACTGCATTGACATTGTTCCCAGTTCTAAAAGTGTCACACCTGGAAGTACATTTCAGTTTTTAACTCATGAGACTGATTTACGAGTTACTGTACAATTCTAGGCAGTGACATGAAGTGAAAATTAATAAATAAAAACAATACACTACCACTGTATGGTGTTTTGAAATGATGCAGTCCCCCAGTGGCTATATTGTAATTTCCTTTAGATTGGGTTACTTTGTTTTTTGTCAATTCATGTGATACAAAATATCTCTCCCTCAAAAATTTCTATCAGGTCCCACAACTTTGCAGTAGAAATTTAAGCTGAACCTGAATTTAGCAATTATTAAAATTACTTAGTACACTGTCATAACAGCAATTAAAGAAGTTCCTCACCTCTTATTTTTGAGGATGAGAACACCAATTTCATAGCTAAAATAAGTTTATAATAATGTGCAATATTAAGGTCAAGTCTTGTAAAAAAAATTATAACCACAAATTTTTTGGATTCAACAAAATTAGGTCAGATACAGACGGTGATAATCATTAGCCCCAAAAGCTGCATTACACTTGGGGCACTTTCTCTGCCTTGTCTCGTATCGAGTACGTAGACAATCAAAGCAGAACACATGGAAGCACTTCACAAGTACTGCATCTTTTCTTTTAACCTGTGAAATATTAATAGCATAAGTCCATGGGTAAGTGTGAATAACTAAAATAGAACTAGAATTAGATTTTAATTCTTTCAGTCTCAATTTTCTTAACTCATCCAACTTTAATATGGGAGAGAATCAAGGGGGTAAAGAAACCAACGTGCAGGACAAATTTAAACTCTACTTTTAATAAATTTATATATGATGGCACTAATGACGATGAGAAATGAAGTAATACAAACTGCAAAACAACTTGACAGTCTCAAAACTAAATAAATAAATATTTTAGAATTTGTGAAAAAAAAAAGTTTTTGTAAAAGTTGGTTTGAACACTGTATGACATAATATAATTTACCACCTATTGCTTATAAGTTCAATATGACTTCAGATTTACTTACTTTACATGATGGGCAGGTGAGTGTATCCTTGTAGTCCCTTATCTCCTCCATTAAAACCTCATCTGCTCGGTCAACCATCTCGAACTTCTTAGCTCGTTCAACCTTCCTTCTTAAACTTGCTATTTCTTCCTGCATGGTTAGATTAAAAACAAGATTTTCATTACATTTATACATAATACTCCAATGTAAGATGGAAGACACTGAGGATCCAGGGGACATGGAATAAAGGAGGACTGTGTTCCTTGGACAATCTGATATGGTACAGATATCAGCTAGAAAAGGTCAGTTTCGTAAGGGGACCAGTTCATATTGAAACTGTGTATGATACTAGTAATTAACATACTGTATTACTGTACTATGTGTCTCGATCTATCATGGAAATATATAAAAATTATCACATATTTTACCTGAACTCTTCTATATTTAAAAGCCTCTTGCTCCAGAGCCATTGTTTTCTCAGCAACCACCTGCTGTGCTTCCTTCATTTGAGCATGATACTTTTCTGTGGATGCAAAATTAAACTATAAAAGAAGTTTAACTTAAGAGATAGACTACTTATATGCATTTAATTTCTTGCCAAAGTAAGTAGTACACGTGTCTCACTTTTTTAAACTCTTGCGCTTTTACTGCTGAAGGCAGGGTGTCCCCTCTGACTTAACTGTAAATTTAGACATGTCAGTGTCACCTATCAGCAGCATGTCCTTCCCCAAAAATCACTTGACACTATGCTCGGATCTCTTTTATGTACTGTATACTGTTGCTTCCTAGATGTCTATTCCCTACACTTCTTGTGAATTCTTTGCACCATCCTTCAATCTCCTAGGTCATCCCCTTATTCTTTTTTTCCCCACACCTCTCAATTATATTCTTTTTGCCAATCTTTCACTTCCATTCTCTTAAAATGTCCATACCACCTGAGTAAACATGAATTCATTCTAGCCCGACATTACAGTACCCCCAATTTCCACATCTACTGATGTGGGGTCCCAATGCACTAAATGGGTTATGAACCTTATACTCACCTAAATGTAATTTTAGGTCTGCAGCAGACTGAGCAGATTCTATGGCCTTTCGCTTGTGCATCTCCAAAGCTTGTTGACGGAGAGTAAGTTCTTTCTCCACTGTTGTCAAATTATTTTGTAATAAACGTTCTTTCTCTTCTAACTTGCGGACAACCTGGTTTTGTGCTTCCACTTGAGTTGTAAGGGTGTTAGTCTGCAGGGTTTAAATATCACTATAATGTTGTATAAATCTGTTTCACGTACAAAAAGTGATGAACTCCTAATATAATCAAGATGACATTTTGAATCTTCCCCTCTATAAGTTACAAACTTTAAATAATAACTATATATACGGTAGAAGAGAAGGGATTACTACAGTATATGGTTTCAGAAAGATAAGTCAGGAATAAAAGCTTTTTGTAGTTATTTGGCTACACCCACAATTGAATCAGTTCACAGGGTACCATATTCTCTGGCAATTCCAATTATGTTAAATTTTCTTCCCTCAAACTTCTCTCTAGGGAAGGTTCTGTGTGTTAACTTATTCTGAATGTAGTAGTTCTCTCTCTCTCACAAACACACATGGGAGATTATATATGTAAACAGAGTCTAAATAAAATGTATACACACACTGGCTTGTAGATTTTTCATAGTGATTGTGATGTTTGCATTATTACAGCAACATTGTCTTCACCTGTTGAGGTGTCATGTCTCCCACAACATTCTGGGAGACTTCACACTTCAAAAAGTGAGGACCGAGTTACTGCTGTACTAACAACAATCACCATAAAAACTGGTAACATAGTACAGTATGTGTAGAAAATGTATCGAGATATCTTGTATATAGAAAGGCGGACCCTGATTAACAAGGATCTGATTTACAAATACAGTAGAAAAAATCCCACAATTTGATTTATGAGTGAAATCCTGAAGTTACGAAAAAATAATTCCTCAGTAATGGTGAAAATCTGCTAAAATAATGAAGTACTGTATTACTTTTTTCTATCAGTACACTTATTCCACTTGCCTTTTTCCTTATTCTCAAATAAACTTTCAATGTCTTGTCATTCTCCTACAATCACCATATAACTTACTCCTAAACTCACATGACCCTCAAGTACCAAGTACAGTACCTGAGTGTGCACTAACCTGCTCCTGTAAAACATTACGTTCTTCATTGGCCAACTGATGTATCTGGTTAGATTTAATCCGCTCTGACATGAGCTTAAAATTTGCATCGTCTTTTTCTCTTAACTGTTGAATTAATCGTATGTTTTGTTCCTGCATGTCTTCAAAGGCCTGTCCAGTTACCTCCATCTCATTCAATAATGTTTCTTCTTCCTGAAAGTTAACATAATAAATGTTACACAGAATACAGTACTGCAATAAGAATATAGTATCAGAAAAAAAAAACCTTGAAAAAATTTTCAAGGCATGATATTGCTTACAATTAAGTTAAACAATAAATAACATTTATAATAGAGAATAAAAATTACAGTATATCTAATTTCTGATACACAACTTATCTATTTTGTAACTGAACACCAAATACAGGTATTACCAATTGATATTCATCCATTATTATCAAATTAAATCCTCAACACAAGTACCCTGTATGCAAAACTCACAAGTCTACTTTTAGAGAATGTAAATACTGAACACTCTGATGTCCTTTTCCATAAAAATGTTGAATGACTTAGTTCGGTGCAGTTTTGAGATATGTACGGAAGCTAAAACTGACAATGAACACAGATTTTCCACGTCTTACAGATTAAGAACAGTTGTGAGATTTTGTTTTTCCTGTGGGTACTGTATATTGGTCACATGCATTACTTAAACCCAAGTTATATACCTCAGTGCAGTACTGTATATACCAATACCAAACAATTGACCAGTTGCAGCAGCACTCATCCCCTCTTTTAACTTATCTAATAATAAAACTTTCTTTGTCAGGGTCATCACTAACTAGGCAGTCTTTTAGGGGCCATTTCACACAGAAACACTAAAGTTTTGAGAGTACTACACGAGATGCTGCGTGGGGCGACTCGTTGTGCAAGGGGGAAAAGGCTTGTAAGCTAGCCACCATAGCCATCACCTGCTTACCGCAAATTGCAAACTAGCGAATGGCAAGGGTCTACTGTATGCAGTACTGTATAGTCAATTGCTAACTTATTTTCTTTTCACTTCCAGTATTGTATATAATGAGAATGCACACCTGTTTCTGAACAGCAACTTGTCGCTGCAGCTGGTGAACGGACTCTTCAAGCTGCTTGATTTTGCGAATAGCTTCTTCATCAGCCAATTTCTTTCTCTCCTCTCGTTTACTTTCCTGAAGTTTCTTCACCTGGCAAATAAAGGTCAATTTGTTAAAAGGTATATTATTTACTTCCCACTCACTCTACACATACTTACACACACATTTTGATGATGAACTAATTCAGAACACAATTTCAATTACTTAAGCAGTACAGTCTGTACTTTTATTGAGAATGGAGGAATGGATGCTGAGCTATTAGAGTACAGTATTAAAATGTACAACAAACAAGTTGTTGAGCCGAGAATTTATTGAAGTAAAGCAATAGAAACAAATACAAGCAAGACAATCCCTTATGTCTGATGGTACCATCTCTAGTGATATATGAGTATACCTGACCCTCACTTTAGGCCAGGGTTACATTCTGCAAAAAACCTCGCATAAAGTAAATTCTTAATCCTATGGGGAAAATGGGATGTGCTCCACAACCATTTCTGGAGCTGCCCCAACCTTAATTCTGGCACATTTCATAACAGACACACTGAAGACAACAGTAATATATAAAACGATTAAAAGAATGAAGAGCATGGGTGGGTGTGTGTGTGGAGGCATGAGGTGATGATAGGGGGATGAACATCAAAAAGGCAGCAAAATTGTGTGTGTGAATGAAAGGAAATCACAAGTGGAGAGAAACAGATACAGTACCTGTGCCTTGAGTTCTTCCACCTCTTGCCTTGCTTTCTTCTCTGCTGCCATTAGCTGTACTTTATCTCGCTGCTCCTTGCCCACACCCTTGTACATATCCAGTAGAAGTTTCAGTTCTCGATAATCATTTACAGCCTTCCTGTGGAGATGAGATGAAAAACACTGGTAAGGATATAATTTATTTTAAACTGTCTCAAACACAAAAGTAAAATTTAAGTACAGGTACAAGTAATATCCCCATTAGTCTGAACTCTCCAATACCCAGAAATGAAATTGGCTTGGAGCTTTTCCGGGTTAATAAAATATTATAAAAAAATCATTAATTTCCCCCCAAAAAATCCTAAATCCCAGAGGAGCTATTGCACCATAATATATTCCCGGTCTCTTATTTATAGAGCGTTAACAGATGATCAGTCCGGCTCCCCCTAACAATGTTGCCAGCACGCAACCAACTCTCAAGCACCGGATTTTTCGGTAATTTGAGCGACTCGGAATTAACGAGGGTAACATATAGTGTAATTACAAATAAAATATTTTACGTGGCAGCCAAGGCATGGTAACTTGAGTATGTTTATTGGTTGGAATAATGAGAAACAAACTGAACAGGAAACGAACGAATAATCAAACACAAAAATTCGGAAACTGTCGAATACTCTACCGTAATGTTAAAATACCCCAAGCTCGGTTAACTTGTATTTTTCGGCAATTCTAGTATTTAAGTCTGTAAACTTTTTACCATAATGGACCCAGGTCCGCTTTTTTTCTTTAACAAATCAAATCCGAGTTCATAATATATGAAACTAGTCCAAACGTGTCAGAGGGTCCGGTATAGAAGGGGGGTTTTACTGTAATGCATATACTGTACAGTAATATGGTATATTAATACACTTGGTGATGGATGACAATAAAAGCCAAACTCGCTAAGAGAAAAGCCGGCAGGATAATGTAAAAGCTACGATCACCGAGAAAACAACATCCATTATACAGACGTTACCTGAGCCGTACTGTATTTCCAGGAGATACTTGAGGAAATAGTCTTTCCATCCTTGTGGAAGACTCTTATGGCCACATGTCATGCACCTACAAAGGTCATCTTCCAAGTTTAAAATGTATACTACTGAGAGGTGGTGCACCAACCCAACCAATACATGAACACGTCTGAGGTTACTGCCCATTTTCTATTCCACAAGACCCTGGGGTCTCGATACTTTTTGGATTGGCTGTAAGTCACATTCTTCTAACGATACATCCCTCCCATAACCCAAACAAGTTCTGTCTAAATAAATTCACAGGTATATGATTAAATTTTTACCATTAAAAATCTTATATACCCTGTATAGGAGTGGTTCATAATGAACAAGAATGTGGTGTGCAGACAAGATCCCTTTCATATTTCTTGCAGCTGAGATATAAATGATTGTGGGTCTCACAGTGAAGCATGGTACTGTAATCATAGCTAAACCACGCAAGCATGGATAATGGCTGTGAAAATGGTGAGGATAATGTTGATCACCTGGAAGACTTCTCCATTTACCTTTGTATTTGGTTCTAATAATTCTTTTGCTTCATATCTTCTGTAAGTTATTAAATTTCTCCTGCACTTATCTTTTCCATATATTACATGCAACTTTTCCTATCCAACAAGTGCAGTTCAGCATTAACATCACACAACATATACAGTATTGTATATTTCACGTACTATTCTGAAACCCAAAAGCTGAAAAGAAGAAAAGTAATCACTGCACTACCATCACAGACAGACAGCATCCACCCTACTACAGTGACAATTAAAACCTTAAAACTTACTTGTGCTCAGATTTCAGATTACGGATGATTTCACTTTCCCTAGAATCTTTGGCTGGAGGAGCAGCACCACCCTGCTTGCCACTACCACCATCCTTTCCTTCCTTGCCCTCTTTTTTTGTCTCCTTTTTAATCTTATCTTCCTTCTTGTCACCTTCTTCATTATCCTACAAGATGAGAAGATTTCTGAAAACATGCCTAAATATACAAAGTTCTACGTACATCAACATATTAGTAAAGTCCTGTTATCCACCGATCTAGTGTTCAGTTAATTTCCACCTGAAGAGTAAGAAGGCTTGGGAACATCTATCAAACATCTTAATTGTTGCACACACCCTTTTCTCCTAAATACATCTACAGTATTGTATAAATAACACCACCTTCTTGCATTATTCTTTCATACTATCTTCTGGAAACCTTTATATCTACTGCCACTTGCCTTACAACTACAGCTTCTATCCCATTATCATCTGCAATTGACGAAAGTCCCAGCCATGAAAATGCCACAAACAAGTGTTTATTTTAAGGTTCAAAGAAATTATGTGAAGTAAACCTTGGTGAAAACATAGAAGGGACTACACACATTGTTTTCCAGCCATTTTCCATGCTTACATGGGTTAACCACAATTACCTGATGGCAGTTATTTAGTTAAACCAGAACAGGGCATCCTCCCCCCTCCACAAACTCTGCTCTCGTGACCCAGTTGTCCTGAGGCATGTTGAAACCAAGTTTTGCAGCCTTTCCTTACATTAACCCACAGTGTGGGAATAGCTGGCAAGGCAGGATCGCAACTCCCTGAATTAAACAATGACTTTCTGTCTACCTTATAAAAAATTTTTAAATTCTTCAATCTCATTCCATGTATCAAGAATCACATTACAATACTAAAATGAAGTACATTCTAGCTGTTAACAGACTGAATGACTATTAAATTAGACCAGTACTTCACAATACTCATTAATCCTGTCCTGGCCAATGATGCGAGTTGTGTCACTAAGAGCCTAACTGTTCCCAGCACCCTCCCACCTGTTGTTTCATTTTGTATGATGCAGCCAGCATCACCACGTAGCAAGCCAGTGAGATTTGGATATTGCAACTTGCATCACTGGCCAGTGAGAGGGTGAGATTTGTCCAACAGTCAACAATGTGAAAGAGATAAGTTGAATTGCTGGTCCTCCAGAGTAACAAGTATTTCAGTCTGTGACAATAGGCTGCCTTTCATTTACCAGTACTGTTATTAGTGAACTCTTTCCCTGTAATGTTTTGCCACAGTGGATAATATTTCAAATCCCATTTTTATGGAATATTGTACATAATGTTTTACCCCAAATTAAAAACAAAAACAAAAAACCGAATGTGATTGCCTGGTAAAGATTTGAAGTTGGTGCCATAAAAGTTTCAGAATAAGCAGCTATGCACAGGTGGCATGAGAAATTAAACATTCACTCTGAAAACAGAACTTGTTAACTTCTATTTCAAGCTAAATAATTGCAACATTTTATTGCCCATGTACTGTACAGTACTCCAAAAACGATCAACATAATGGCCTACTGCAAATAGAAAACACATAAGCTGCAATTAAGACGCATGAAACAATACTCCATACCGAGGGAAATGATGACAGTTGTGTCCATTCTTCAGTACCAAGTTACTAACCTTCGATTCTTCTTCACCTTCTTCCTTCTTGATGTCCAACCCTTCAGCTGTCTTGTCCTCAACACCAGCTCCTCCTCCACCCAAAGGAGTAGAAGACTGCTGGTTAGAAGAGGTTGGGGGACCCGAGGAGTCGCACGATTCACTGCCTTCCTCTTTGACCATCTGGAAGCATCAATTTAATGGTTACCCAAGAATTTCTCAATCATCAATTATAGAATGTCCTCAAAATATTATCGCTCTAGAAAGGCTTATAAGTATACAAAGTGTGCATTAATGCCATTACCTGTTCTTTTCCCCCATCACCACGATCACTACTGACACTGTCCTGACGTTCACTGACACTTGCACTCCTTTGTCTTACAGCCAGTTTCAGATGCAGGTCTTCCATTTCTCGTTTCAACTGAGAAAAACAAGAGAGAAGTGTTGGCTGGTTCATGGGTAAGTCACAAAGTAAAGATTCACATTCATAAATTTGCAGGTACCTCTATTACTATACCTCTTTTTTTAATTAATCAAATACCCGTACTCATAATTCACAGCCGAGTGGCAGCTTCCGCAGTGTTTATTTACATAAGAAACCATAAAAGTTGCACAAATATCATTTCAATGCTCTAAGTATGGCACATGGAGTAGGCAATAAAAGTGGAAGAATAATTTTGCACAAGTTACTGTACCACCACTATAAAAAAAATATAAAAATCTTGAAAGCTCAATAAAAGCATTGTTCTGAGAGCCATACTGAGAGCATATGATGATAGGTACTTGAACAAAGAGCAATTTGAATCAGACCATTAAAGGTGATAATGGTAGAATATGAGATGACTGAATCAGAGCTAAGAAGTTGTTCATCCACGAGCTAAAAACTAACCAACCTTATTGTTTTCAGTAGCAGCTTCTTTGTACTTCCGCTTATAACGATGGATTTCTCCCTTCAGTTGTGAGATGTGGTTCTGCAAGGAGGTGATCAGGTGCCTCATCTCCCGATTGATAGGTCCTGTTTGCTCATTAGCAGCCAGGTTTTGCTCAAATTCAATTCTCAGCATCTCGTACTCCTTACGCACCTGGGCTTGCATGTCTTCTAGTTGGATTACTTCAGCGCGCAACTTCTTCTGGATTGTTAGTTCTTCGCTCTATAAATAATATAAGTAATACTCACTTAACATCAGGAAAAACTTAACTCTGTATGTATTAAGGAGAAGGCTTAAGAGGCAGGGAGTGTTAAAGAGGAGGAAGAGGTGGAGTAGTAAGAGGCAGGGAGGGTTAAAGAGAAGGAGTGATAGTGTTAAAAGTAGAGAGAGAACAGTCCTTATGAGCTATAGGGGTGAAATACAGACAAGGACTGACAGTAAGATTTATATTTCAGGCAGAGGAAATGAACTACAATATATCCTGTTGTTTCCTGCCTATCTAACAACACGTGGAAAAGGCTCCAAGGGAAATATACTTCCATACCAAGTCATGATGGGCGGAGGGGTTAAAAAAAAATAAAGAAAATACAGACACTAACCTCCATTTGCTCAATCTGACGCAGGTGTGCATTTTTACTGTTCTGTAGCTGATGTCGTGTTTCCTCTAGCTGTGTCTTGAGCTGCATGGAGTCATTATACAGCACTGAGAACTGGGACTGAAGACATTTGTATTCCGTTGTCTCCACTATTACACTTTCTGGTAACTGGCGTAACTGCAAAATACATTAATAATTAAATGTATACTGTATTTATTTACAAGAGAATGAAATAAAATACTTAACTTTTGAGAAATTATAAAACTACTGTAAATTGTTTCATATTTTCAACTAAACAATTTGGAAGGAGAATATTATCATTACTAAAACTTTCACATCTCCTGCCTCACGCTACATTCCTCATCTCTATCACAGGACCCCTGACACATACAAACTCTCATTTTTTATACCTTACTTTTGGCTATGTGAACCTTCCATTCATTCCACTTGAGCAACTATCCGAATAATCAGTTCCTCATACTCTCTTAGGCACAATTTTCATGGAGTTCATAAATCATCTTTATCGCACTATCCATATACAGTATGTTCAAGAGGGGCAGGATGGTGGTATAAATTTCATCAGAGCAAAGAGATGAAGAGCTCAGGCAGGTAGAGTTATATATATATGATGATGAAGGTTTTTAACAAATGTCAAGGTATACATTGGCTTACATCCATCTTCAATCTTTCCACCTCCTTGAGGGCTTCCTTGTGCTCATTTGTCTTCTTTTCCAGCTCATCCAGTCTCTTGGCACTCAGTTCACGTAACTCCTCCAGCTCACTGTTTAATTCTTCCATCTGTATGAATGACATGAATAAAATGCACCTTAATCAAATATTAATAATAATCTTACCTACAATATCACACTTCTCAACAGATCTCCCCTTTTAGTGAGTAGCTATGACAAAAGAAACTCCTGGGAACCACAAGCATTGGCTTGGTTTGAGTTAGGGTTGTAATGTCCTCATCACAGAAAAAAGCATGCCTATTTTAAATATATTTTAATTTGGCCTTGGGTATGAATGAAAGGAAAATCGACAAACTGACATTTAGTTTGAGACAGCATCAGAAATATGATCAAGTCCATCCACCAGAATGTCAAAGTCATAGATAGTCAGCAAATGTCCAGAGAAAATATTCCAGTCATATTTATCTAACCTCTTCTCTGCTTTAACTTTATTAAGAAACCTTAAAAGATGTGCAGTGTATCAAAGCAACCTTCCCCTGGCAATCTCGTAAAAGAAATGTTTGAGAGTCATGTTAAAATAACCCATTTTGTAGGCTACGCTTTGAAAAACACATGATTTTTGGTTTTATAATGGAATCTCCCATCCAATCTAACAATCTTGTACATTTGGGACAAGTTATGAAAAACTAATTCACAGATAAAGATATTATAAAAAAAGAATGAAAATTGGCATGTCAACAAAAATAAGAAATGCATCTTGGTACTTTGATCAATCACAACATAGATAATACACACACTAACATAAAAAAAGAACAACAGTTCAAAATACATACAGTACTTTGTTATAAAGTAAATGGCTAATGCTTACCTTCTTGGATGAGACGGAGGACGTGATCTTCCCACCAACTGGTAAAACCTCCCCTGTTTTGACATTACCGGGAGTATTGACGCCACATTCATCTTGCATGGCCTTCAATTTCTGACAAGTATCAGCCAGATGGCTTTCCACTTTTTCACAGCGTGAGCGTGTCTTGTTTAGGTCATAATCCATATCCTCAATGCGGTTCTGCATCTCAGCCTTCTCAGTATCCATAGCCTGAAGTTTCTCCTCTAGTTCTGCTACCTAGGAAAGAAATTCAAACTTAAAAACTTAATCACAGTAATAAGAGCAACAAGATCATACCTGTATCAAATAAAAAGCCTGCATAAAGTACTGAAGATTATGCTATTATAAATTTAATCTGAATATGAACACTTGATACTGTTACCATAAGTCTGTCACACAGTTTTGATCGTCTCACTGTTAAACATGTTTTAGTTAGCAATCCATTTTCCAGGAACGTATCCTGAGCACTAACCAGGGTATTACTGAAGTGTTGATCCGGCAGCTTTATTCTACCAAAAAGTCCAAACCCATCAGCCAATGGGTGGGTGAGATTTGGGTGACACGACTAAGATCATTGGTTTGAGGAATATTATATTTATGGTGGTATCAAAAGATTGTTTATAATAAGAGTGTGTACCTTAAGACACATGAGATGATGTTTCTCATGGAAAGAAAGATTCTGCCCATGAAGGTTTTTGTTCTCTGTCTGGAGCTCATTGTTCAATTCCCGAACACTTTCTTCTAATGCTGGTGGAGGCTCTGTGGAAGACAAGATACAGGGTTATTAAAACCACAAACCAAAAAAATTAATTACAGTGGTCCCTCGGTTAATGAGCACAATCCGTTCTAGAAGGTTGCTCGTTAACCGAAAAACTCGTTAACCGAAACCATTGTTTCAATGGGTTTTGGGGTAATTGGTTCCAGCTCACCGAAAATTGCCTAAATTCAACAAAAAAGGTAGAAAAGCACACTTACTTTGAGGTGTGTATGTAGAAGGCTCCTGGATGATGATGGGAATTAGAATGGGGGTGGAGGAGAAGGGAGAAGAGAAGGCAGTGGGGTGGAAGAGAAGTCACCCCATGGCGCCATTTCACCCATAAAATTTTAGTTCTCTTGGTGTAATTCAAGATTATGTTCTTTAAATCAACACTGCACTGCATTATATATTGTCAATATGTAAAATAAATTTCAAAATGACCAATAATTTGCTTGCAAACACAGAAAAAAGAGTCTCAAGCAAGATGTTACCTCCACTGAAAAGACACAAAGACTGACGCCAGTATGGTGTGTTGACAGGCTGGATGGCATGTTCAATAATTGTTAAAATTACTAAAAAATTTAATATTAAACTTTTAAAATTATTGAATAGTATAAACTTCTTGATATTTACTAAAATGGTAAGGAATTTAAGCCCTAGAACCGATTACTGTACTGGCGGACTAATACTACAGCTGGTGGACCGCCAAATGCAAGCGAAAACATGTTCAGGTCGGCTCGTAAGAAACTCGTTAATAGAGGGATTGCCCGTTAACCGAAGTAAAGAATCTTATGGAAAGTAACTCGTTAACCGAGGGACCACTGTACCTGGTCTTTTCTGATTCTATTCATTACTTGAACAAGACTCAGAGTGATCACTCCCCCCCAAAATATGACAGACTGATTTACAAAACCTTCCAATGCTTCTTTCAGTATCTATAACCATCTACTGTATAATGAAAATATTCTTAAATTATACACAATAAACCTTAGAGTAATTACATACCTTCCAATCCTTCCCCCTTAAGTGCTCGAGCCACCTTTTCATTTCGTTGGTGGAGGCGATCAAAGGCCTGCACAATCTTGGCCACTGCACGTTTAGACACCTGCACCCGGTTGGCTAGTTTTTCATCTAACTCCTCTCTATCCCAAGTTGATAACTGGGTCAGGAAGGAAGTAGTTGCCTCACTTTCATCTGTAAAATTGATTTAATATAAAAGGATCCCTCATTCGACGATGGGGTTGCGTTCCTTAAAAAACCTAATCTTAAGCAAAATTACAGCAAAACATGGGATAACAACAAAGCACGGGTTTAAATGGCAGGGCAGTAAACACTGAGTATAGCCTGTCTAATAATAATAACGAACAAACTATTTGTTATAAACAGTTTTGAAGTTAAACAATTGTTTTATTAACACCAAACTTCTATATAAACGATGTTGTTCAGAGTTAAATGATTTAGTAAGCAAAAGACGGGCCTAATTCCAACATATTTAAAATTGCATACGTCAAAAAAGTAATAACAATTACTATATAGCATATCATAAAAAACAATAGCACACAATTTAAGTACAAAAATTAGCTCCTTCCACACTCAAACCATCCATGAACGAAAAGGCACAATTCAGCCAAGCAGTTATCCAGCTGACTCAGAGACGTGTGTGTGTGCCATGACATCACATTAGGAGATGGAGTGCGTACTGGTGGCAAGTTGGCGACACAGTTACAGCCCACAGCCTCCTTGAGTCCATGCATACGTTCACTACCCACGCATACACGTATGCTTTTCATTTGTCTTATTTTATAGTTTTATATTATGTTTTTTGTAGTTCTAAGCCACATAAGAGCACTGTAATGAATTTTCCACAACTTTTATAGTTTCATTACGTATAACAATGGCAACATGCCATCTCACAGGCCACCTCATCCCCAGTTTTTCCCCCTTCCCAGTGAGTCAAGTTAATGTTTAACCAAATATTTACCTAACGTTAAGTAAGAAAGGTTGTAAAGTTTTTTATCGCTAAACCGAATTAATGTTAAGTGCATTAACAATGAATGAGGGATACCTATATACAGTACAGCATACCTTGACAAATCGCTGACCTCGATTATTCCCGGATGACACCATGGATGTACCCAAGAATGTCTAAGGGTAGTTTTAAAGTTGCTGGCATTTTCGCGGCCAGGACAGGGAACTATTCGTTCTAGAGACAGTGATTTCTTTTACCTGTACAGTATCGTATATATGTGTGTGTCTACACACACACACGTATATACAATAAAGGTAAAAGAAATAATTGTCCTAAGGACAGACACAAAGGGAATATGATGTACATTTCTTTGCACACGAGTAAAAATGGTATATACATTAGCAAAAATACTTGACAACTTGTGTGATATTGTGAAGACCAAAAGTCAATTTACCAAACCCTGTTTCATCTATTGCAAGGTGTTCTTAACTGGAGGTTTGGCATTCTAGAGGGGAAATTTTATGCAGTGTAACAAATAAGGGAAAAATTCATCCAAACATTTCCTCAAAATGAGAAGAATCTTTTCTCTTTACACACACCCATGTGAATCAAGCTTTTGGCTCCCCTGAATATCAAAATACTGTAAAAGCGAGGAGCAACTAGAGGTGGAGGCAGACTTCAGGTGCACCATTTCAGGAACCACCCCAGATATCAACTGCCTTGTCAACGAGAAGCAGTTCCAAAAATCCCACTGAAAAATATTTATAGTGATTTTGTTAGCTAATTATAGGCATTACCAACCATTACCTTTTATTTTTCTATTCAACAACATGTCACTCTGTAATAAGTTATATTAATGTATTGTATACAAAACCTGTAATCAATATGTTTCACTTATTCAAATGGGGAGGGGGGAATGTCCTTAGCAGATGGAAAAGGTTAAGAACTTTTGATCTAGTGGGTGATACAGGCAGACTTGCTCACTACAAAGCAATAATATTCAATATGGTCAACTTGTAAAATGTTGTGAGAAACAGCAATTCAAGACTTTCTTTCAAATTCTTTATTCTTTAAAGCAATTTATTTTTCACATGTAATTCAATAATTTTTGAGTCTGCAGTAACCTTTTACTCTTCCACTATGATACACAAATCTATCTCCCTGTGTATGAATATTATTGATTTCCCCAGCACAATCAAGTGATACAGTCCTAGGCGAGATACAGATTTCTTCATTCCTTATGAGGTTCAATTCTGCTTTCTCCATCTTTTAACGGCACATTTCTAATTCATGTCCTTCCACAAGTCATCCACACTACAATTATATTTAAAAAAAATTTACGACATATAAAGTTACCTGGACATTAATTACCATATAACATAAAACACCTTTAAGTACTCTTACTCCAAGAAAGTACCTTAATGATGGAGTCTGATGACTTTCAAAATGAACACCGACTCTTATTGTCTTGGTATGGCTGTCCAAATCCTTTGTCTGTTGTGTCATATGGTCTAACACAAAATCGTAAAGATACTTTTTGGAGTGAATGTACTGCCACTTAAGGCCAGCCAACCTTGAAGGTTCCCACAAATTACATATCTATCCTCTGTATAAAACTACAAGATGATGAAGATGAATAAAAGTCAAGTGACCCAATCATGACATGACAGACAAGCTCTATATACTGTACTGTAATATTAGTGACACTCACTCTTTGTCTCAGACTCATCAGCAGTCTCAGCATCAAATCGTTGTAACATGAGTCTGATATCTTCATTGAATTGGTTCCAGTACCGGTTGATAACAGTCAACACATCATCACTCTGGGTCTGTCGCTTCTCCAGCTGTTCTATTCGACTCCGTAAGTCATCTTCTATTCTTTTCCTTTGCTCAAGCCGCTGTGGCACAATACACAATAACAATGTAAATATCTAGAATAGAAAATATTAACTAGGAATGGAATTACTACTAAGCATAAGAATACTGTATAAGAAGTGATCTAGGCAAAGATTTTTAGCCTCTTACATTGAATGACCTTATGAAACTTCAGATATACCAGCAACTGTACCTTAGGTAAACTTTATTATCAACCCCAATCTGCACTCTCTTATACTAGATGAAAGAAGATACAGTATAAAAAAAAATTCAGATGATAAATTTACTGTTGCTCAAAAGTAACTATGATCAGTAAAGGGTAAAATTGCAGATTACAGCAACCAAATAATCTGATGGTTTTTGATGCGATTGGTTCAAATCTGACATTCGCTTTTATCAGAAATCACTCGTTTTGGATTTAGCCCTCCCTCTAACAATAATGGGGGAAAGCGTGGGAATTCGGGTCTAGTTCTATCGATTGTGTCCTGAATTCCCGGTACTCTGTGCTTGCTAACTTATACAATATTACCAAACTAAACCTTACCTAACCCCCTAGCCAGGGGCTTCGTCTCCGGACCCCCAAACACTTATCAATTTGTGACAGAAATGTTATATTAGAAAATGATCATAGAAAAAATAATTCTATCGATTGAGTGTAACGAATTTCCGGAATTCCATGGTTGTTGTTTACTGCAATATTACCCAGTAATGGTCCTCATACCCAGGCTAAGACCCTGCATAAATGAGTGTTCTAATAAGGATATGTTGACTGCTATTAATCATGATCTGTGGTTGAACTGTCAGGGAATTTTACTGAAGTGCATAGATCCAAATTACCCTGGGCCAGTGACCATGTGAACGGGAAGGACTCTGTATAAAAGTAAATGGAGACTGTAGTGACATCTCTTCCAGATATCTTTCAGTAAAAACCTTTGTTGAAAAACTGTACCTAGTGATAGAAGCCATAAAGAATATACTAGAAATTTTTCACACAAAGTTGTGTAACTCTTGCCAACGCAAGCGTGAACCAAGGTTTGTTTGGATCCTTGGAATGTGTTAAAACAGATTCACACTAGCTCGTTTAAATGATAGCTGTAACAAATATTCTTACAGTCCTTTAAATACAGTTCAGTACAGTCAAATCTCAAAAAATTTAAATATAGAGGTTTGACTACACACACACAGTACGGTACATGTATATACAGTACTGTAGGGGCGTAAAACCTACGACAGTCACAAAACTAACATGCAAGAAAACAGAAATAAGCATATTCCCCCTATAGTATCCTCACCTGGTAAAGCTTGTGGTTCTGGAAGCGGAGAGTTTTCATATCCATCTCATCAAGAGTAGAAATTGGGCCCAACTGTATGGGTTCAAACTGCACCTTGAGGTTCTTGGGCGGGGGAGCTGAGCTGGTGCCCCCGTCCTCGAGAGCTCTCTTTGACATCTTGGTCCCGCGGAGCTACCCAGGAGAGACCTACAGTGGTAAACAAACATTACATTAGTATACAGTTATCTACACATATACCTGGCAAAAAATAAATAAAATAATAAATAAATAAATCACATCCTAAACCTACAGCTAAGATTGTTCAGTTAGGTTAGGTTAGGTTGGGTTGGGTTGGGTTGGGTTAAGTGAGGTTAGGTTAGGTTGGGTTGGGTTAGGTTAGGTTGGGTTGGGTTAAGTGAGGTTAGGTTAGGTTAGGTTAGGTTAGGTTAGGTTAGGTTAGGTTAGGTATGTTTGGATACTTAAATACAAGAATGACCAAAACTACCATTTTTACCCCCAAAACTCTCTTAGGATTGTCAATACTTTTTCTGGAGTTATTTTTATTACCTTCAACATACTAATACATAAAAAACGAAAGAAATAAAACCACATCAACTTAACAGGAATAACTTCAGCTCCCAGGGACAAAGCCGCCAGACACACCACCCATCACCTCACACAACGTCTCTAACTCATCATTTTATCTCAATATCCATAAACCAAGACTCCATAAATTAAACCAAGACTCCAATACTCACCTCAGATGCACTAGAGAGTTATAAAGGACATATTAAACTCTCCCTCAGGACGTGTAGTTCCAACACTCTTCCAGGTGGTGTTAGCTGTACCGTGTAAACAAACTGTTAAACTAATTCTTAAATGTTCTCTAGTCTCTGTTAAATAATACTAAGTTAAAAATACATAATAATAATATGGTAGTAATTCTTTAACTCGTGTAATAGTATGGAAATTTGTTTTTTAAAATAAGTCTTTTGAAATTAATATAATGAAAAATAATTATGATGATAACTTGAGGTCTAATTCTGTTTATAAGATATTATTTACCTGTAATAAAACAATAAATTATATATAAATATATTTAAGATAAAAAAATATATATATACAAGAGAAAGAAGTATAAATATTCTAGTAATTAGGAAAGTAATTATATATTCTAAAAACAGACCTTATTTATCCGTTTTGTTTCAATTGCTTTTTATTTAATTATTGTAACTAAAAACAACCAAATTTCTTCATATTTTAGATAATTAATTCAAGTTACATTAGATAATTATTTCTTGCGACTAATGGCATATCCTCCGTTACCATGGTGATAGCGTCTCATGGACTGAGCTGAACTACTGACGGTAAATAAGGTGAATTAAGTCTTAAAGTTATATAGCTGTAGAATAATAAGTTTACTTTAAAAGGTGCACAGACTAAGGGAATTTACTTAATGTACGTAGTTATATAATAATTTAATGAAAGAGTTAACTAAAAATATGGAGAGGAGTCACTACAGTACTCTACATAGGTTTCCACTTAAAGGCACAGAAACATATAATCTTCTTACAGGCTCATGATCTTACAGGCTCATGATCTTCTTACAGGCTCATGATCTTCTTACAGGCTTACGATCTTACAGGCTCATGATCTTACAGGCTCACGATCTTCTTATATGCTCATAATCTTCTTACAGGCTCATGATCTTACAGGCTCACGATCTTCTTATATGCTCATAATCTTCTTACAGGCTCATGATCTTCTTACAGGCTCATGATCTTCTTACAGGCTCATGATCTTCTTACAGGCTCATGATCTTCTTACAGGTTTACGATCTTACAGGCTGACGACCTACCCACTATGGCTCTATTGGGTCGTGACCGTCGTGTGTCGCGGTCAGAGTACACCCGTGATTACTACCGCCCCTCCTCCTCCATTACCGCACCTTCCCTCACGCCCCAGGAACAGCCTTACGCCCCTCCAGTCCCGCCTAGGAGACCAGGACAGGTGAGTCTCCTATTAATTCATGTATTAGGGCAGGTGAGTCTCCTTAATACATAACACAATGTATACTGTCATCATACACAGGCATACTTTTGTGGTATGTATGATGTATTACTGTAAAAATGTATATCAGTTATAGCTTAGTCGACTGTACTGTATGCTGTATAACCATATGTATTGTAGGAAGATAATCTGGTTTAACTATGTGAGATAATCTGGGTTTAACTATGTGAGATAATCTGGGTTTAACTATGAGATAATCTGGGTTTAACTATGTGAGATAATCTGGGTTTAACTATGAGATAATCTGGGTATATGATGTTTGTATTGAATGGCGTACTACTGTGGTGCAGGGAGGAAGTAACGCCTGGGTCCTGCCACCACCAATAAATCCGTCGATATGGCGCGCCTCTCACTCTGCCAAACTCCATGATTCCCACGCCCACGCCTCCCACGCCCAGCGAACCCGAGCCGAAAACAGGTTAGTTAGGGCATCCATGAAGGGGGGGGGGGGTTATCATGTACTGGGGGTGACTGATTCACGTGAAGATTAACCCCAGCTAATTTCAACTCTAGATTAGCCACCCTAATGCTCACGTAACATAAGCGAATTATGGTGTTTTACCAGATGAAATAAGCTGGGATTAATCTTTGGGGAATATTAATTATCATATTTTCATTATTTTCTCGTTTCTCTTGAATATTTACACAGTTGTTCAGTTTACTACAGTTTACATCTACCAACAGGTGCAGTACACTCTCTACGTACAATACATGGTAAAGCAAAGTGATCTTATTTGACATTTTTTTTTATTAAATATCACATATCACGACAGACGTCTATGTGATGAGACAGAGCGACTGACGGTCAATCATAAGAGTGAGGTGGAGCGTCGCTTGGCGGACCGGGTGTGTGACATCACCTTCTGGAGGGAGGAGTTAGCAGCCCGCCACACCGCTATGGACCATGACGCCACCAACCTCAACACCCTTAAGGACAGACTTAATAAAGCTCACGACCTTTACATGCGTCCATTACAAGTAGCTTACCAGTGTATTGAGATCCGGTGAGTATTATTATTATTTTTGTTTAGCTCGCCTGTTGTCATCAAGGCGTCTTACGTTGGGCGACTTCATAGATAATATACTGTAATGCGTCTTATGATTTCGTTAAGATAATAATTACTAGAATATTTACTTCATTACCTCATGGATTAATTTACCATTTTGTTCTCATGGGTAATACCAATGCTCATAAAAAAATAATATGCTAAATTTCACCTCCCGGATATCACTACGTCACCACGCCCAATCAAGTGGGTAACGAGTTTGTCAGTGGTCGAAGGTGATAAATTACCACCAACCTGAAATAGTTTATCTTTTCACCACTTATCAGTTTACTGGGAACTCGGGAAGTGGGTCTGTTATTTGTTAATTAGTTGATAACGGAATATCGGGAAAAACCTGCCATGTTTGGTAATGTACTAACTGAAACTATGACACTCTATATCGCTTTACCACCTTTAATGAAGGTCAATAAAAATAAAAATTAAACGGTATAATTAATAAGTTAAATAAGACAAAATGGCTAGTAAGCTAAGTGGTGATATTATAAAAAATAAAGTCCTCTAAGTAACTGTTGACATATGATCGTGAACACAGACGTGGGCGTGTAGGCGTGGAGGGCGTGGAGGACGAGGCGTTGACAGCGCTACGTCAGGAGGTGAAGGAGGTGACAAGATGCCGTGAGGCCTTAGAGAGAACCAGTGCTGACACCGCTCATCAGGTAAAGGAGGATGATGACTGACAGGTGGAGGAGTTAATTAACATCTGTGGTTAACATGGTCGATGTATCCGTCATTATTAACATTCAGGAAAAACAAATATTTGTTTATTTTTATTTACGTTATACACCCCACAAATACTATCCTATCCTAACCAATCCTAACCTAACCTAACCTAACCTAACCTACCCCCCTGACAGTAATCTGGGATGCCACTGTCTTTCTTACAGATTCGCCGAGTGTTGTCATGCCGCTACCACCTGGAGAAGAACCTGCTGGACAAAGACACCGCCCTTCGTGTCGAGGAGGCCACCACTAACCTCACGCCCACTGCACCGCCCACCGCCATCATCCCAAAGCAGACCATCGATCCCAGGTGACCAAGCCGCTGTCTGCCTATTGCCTTGTGTACACCTGCTCTAAATAACTATACCTTTTACCTATGCTCTCCACCTGTGCTTACGATATGACGTAGTCGAACCTTGTACAACTCCTTCCAAGCGTAATCCATTAACAAACTTTACACGGTCTAGTCACACCTAACCGTTTGACCATCTATATTGTTATTTATCTTGCTGGGTAAAGCTTTCTCCAAGACGAAGGAGGGAAAAGAATATTGGATGGTATTTGTGTCTTTCAGCCCAATCTCGGTGGAGTGGTGGTGCGAGGTTGGTGTAAAGCTGCTGAAGAGAAGTGACGACGAACACCAACTTTCAGAGCAGGTGAGGGAAAGTCCACACACCTGAACGACTACTCACTGCCCCTTTGACTGACCCTCACAGTTCCTAGGCTACGTTTGGTCTGGTTTTCCTGATATTTTTGGTTTATTATCTCCGGGTCGTATCCATATTCTTCATTCCCCCCAAAATAGTTTCTTTACAAGTAATTTAGCAATAATATTTCTGGTGTACGTCTCACTTAGTCTCCAGTAACCACTTCAGATCACAGCCTTGGCGGAGGATATCCTGGTGGCTACTGCACGCCATCTACGGGAGCGTCTGGAACACACTGACCACTGCCTGAAGGAGAGGATCCTTGACACCCGCCACGCCAAGACCCTTCTGGAGGAACAGCATGCTAAGGTTAGCCTGTTGATCCTGTGGGGTGTATTTCAATAGTATATTTCAATAAGACATCACATTAATCTTTTTGAAGTGTATATACTGTACTAAAGAACTATTGTGTATTTGTAGTGAAGTCAGCAATTTGTAGGTAGAGTATAGTGATGATGATGTCAGTGCAGTAGTTACGGTGACCCTCATATTCATGGTAATAATAATGAACCTGTTGGCAAGAAGGGTGTTTAACGTGAGACATTGTTTCTCGTGGCAGCTGGTGGAAGAGGAGAGCCAGCTGGAGCAGAGTCTGGTAGAGGTGGAGGACCAGCTGGAAGCGAAGAGAGGTCCTCTTGCCTTGGCTCAGACCCGCCTCCACACACGTACACTGAGACCCAACATAGAGCGTACCAGGTGTGTGTGTGTGTGTGTATATTTTGTACTGCGTTTACCTTCTATATATACTAAACACTGCTTTCCTACACCATTTTTGTTATCCACTTGTTCAGGAATCCTTAATACCCCCCCCGCCGTCCAGATCGTGTTCTCTAGTCACTCTCTCTCTGTGTCTCTCATCTCCTCCTTTCAGTCATTTACTTACTTTATTCCCTCCCATTTTACTCCACTTAGTAGTCTTCCCTCCTTACCTTCTCCTCCACTTACTCTCATCCTCCACTTCCACAGGGACGAGGTAGAAGCAGCACTACTGAAGGAGGTGGAAGAACTGGAACTCACCATCTCACGCCTGACCTCTGCTGCTGAACACACTCGTAACCATCTTCAGCAACTCAGGTCAACCCGGGTCAGCCTCCAGCACGATATCAACCTCAAAGCAAAGACGTTACTGCTGGACGAGGTGAAGGTTATGGCACTGAGAGACACTGTCACCATCGACACACACTGACCCTTGGGTTGGGTTGGGTTGGGTTGGGTGTGGTTGGGTTGTGTTGGGTTGGGTTGGGTTGGGCTGGGCTGTAGTTGGGCTGGGTTGGGCTACAAGGCTGGGCTGGGTGTGGCTGGGCTGTGCTGGGCTGAGTTGGGCCAGTTGCTGCTGGGCTGGGCTGGGTGTGGCTGGGTTTTACAAGGCTGGGCTGGGCTGCTGGGCTGGGTGGCTGGGCTGTGCTGGGCTGGGTTGCTAAGTTGGGTTGTGTTGGGTTGGGTTGGGTTGGGTTGGGTTGGGTTGGGTTGGTTTGCTTGGGTTGGGTGGGTGGGTTGGGTTGGGTTGGTTGGGTTGGGTTGGGTTGGGTTGGGTTGGGATTTGGTGGGTTGGTTTGTTGGGTTTGGGTTGGGTTGGGTTGTGTTGGGTTGGGTTGGGTTGAAGGTGGGTTGGAGTTGGGTTGGGTTGGTTGTGTGGTTGGTTGGGTTGGGTTGGGTTGGGTTGGGTTGGGTTGGTTGGGTTGGGTTGGGTTGGGTTGGGTTGGGTTGGGTTGTGTTGTTGTTGGTTGGGTTGGGTTGGGTTGGTTAGGTTGGGTTGGGTTGGGTTGGGTTGGGTTGGGTTGGGTTGGGTTAGGGTTGGGTTGGGTTGTGTTGGGTTGGTTGCTTGGGTTGGTTGGGGGTGGGTTGGGTTGGGTTGGGGGGGTTGGGGTTGGTTGTGTTGGGTTGGGTTGTGTTGGGTTGGCTGGGTTGTGTTGGGTTGGGTTGGGTTGTGTTGGTTGCTTAGTTGGGTTGCTGGTTGGGTTGTGTTGGGTTGGGTTGGGTTGGGTTGGGTTGGGTTGGGTTGGTTGGGTTGGGTTGTTGGGTTGGGTTGGGTGTGGTTGCTTGTGTTGGGTTGGTTGGGTTGGGTTGCTTGGGTTGTTGTTGGGTTGGGTTGGGTTGGGTTGGGTTGGGTTGGGTTGGGTTGGTTGTTGGGTTGTGTTGGGTTGGTTGGTTGAGTTGTGTTGGGTTGTGGGGATTTGGGTTGGGTTGGGTTGGGTTGGGTTGGGTTGCTTGCTGCTGGGCTTGGGCTGCGTGGCTGGGCTGTGCTGGGCTGGGCTGGGCTTGGGTTGGGTTGGGTTGGGTTGGGTTAGTTTCAGCGGGGATTTTGTCTTACATCTTATTCATTATTATCATTATAAGACTTAATAAACTTTCAATTCATAAGATGTTAATTCACAAGTAAAACCAGATCTACTGTTTCACACACACAGAACCTCATGACTGAATAACTGTATAGCTCATCTATACACTGAGACACTCTAATACTGATCACTAAAACCTATGAATCCGTATGAAAGAATCTGGCAAAAAACATAATTTATCTATGGTAAAAGCAAATACAGTATTATTCAATGGATAATACAAATAATTGACGAATTGGGCAGTGTAAGGCGTGGGGCGGTAAGACTAGCTCTAGCACTCACACTAGAACTTCACCTTGAACAGTACTTCTATGTGACTTAAGTCCTAGATAACTTAGAAATATGTGAAGGTTCCTCGAGTGATGTCTTCAGGTCTTCTTTAGCCACCAATTATTATTTTTTTTATGACTTCACTACAAGATGTGTTCATTATTCCCACTGTATATTTGGTTCAATAGACACATGGGGGTTTCAATCTCACTAATATGTTCTTTGTTCCTAGGACGATTTGAGTCAAAGAACTAACATATCTATTGAGTGTGACTGCTCGACTTGCCCAATACACAGCTCTGATCCTACACACACAGGAGTGGTCTTGGATCTCTTTCATTATGCAATCACCCTTTAATTTTTCTTATAATATTATTCCTCAACCTTCAGCTGATGACACAGTGCAATATTCACACCACTCTTGAAATTTACACTAAGTCATAATTAACCTCCCACACACATCGATACGGAGACAATTGTGTTATTGTTTACTAGTTGTAGTAATCATGACGTCATTGTTTGCATTATTTACCCACCTCTATCAGACCACAGCTTACACCCCAGAGAAATACACCACATCTATCAGACCACAGCTACACCCCAGAGAAATACACCACCTCTATCAGACCACAGCTTACACCCCCAGAGAAATACACCACTCTATCAGACCACAGCTACACCCCAGAGAAATACACCACCTTATAAGACCACAGCTTACACCCCAGAGACATACACCACTTATCAGACCACAGCTTACACCCCAGAGAAATACACCACCTCTATCAGACCACAGCCTACACCCCAGAGAAATACACCTACATCTATCAGACCACAGCTTACACCCTAGAGAAATACACCACCTCTATCAGACCACAGCTTACACCCCAGAGAAATACACCACCTCTATCAGACCACAGCTTACACCCCAGAGAAATACACCACCTCTATCAGACCACAGCTTACACCCAGAGAAATACACCACATCTATCAGACCACAGCTTACACCCCAGAGAAATACACCACCTCTATCAGACCACAGCTTACACCCCAGAGAAATACACCACCTCTATCAGACCACAGCTTACACCCCAGAGAAATACACCACCTCTATAAGACCACAGCTTACACCCCAGAGACATACACCACCTCTATCAGACCACAGCTTACACCCCAGAGAAATACACCACCTCTATAAGACCACAGCTTACACCCCAGAGAAATACACCACCTCTATAAGACCACAGCTACACCCCAGAGACATACACCACCTCTATCAGACCACAGCTTACACCCCAGAGAAATACACCACCTCTATAAGACCACAGCTACACCCCAGAGACATACACCACCTCTATCAGACCACAGCTTACACCCCAGAGAAATACACCACCTCTATCAGACCACAGCTACACCCCAGAGAAATACACCACTTCTAACAGACCACAGCTACACCCAGAGAAATACACCACCTCTAACAGACCACAGCTACACCCCAGAGAAATATACCACCTCTAACAGACCACAGCTTACACCCCAGAGAAATACACCACCTCTAACAGACCACAGCTTACACCCCAGAGAAATACACCACTCCTAACAGACCACAGCCACCCCAGAGAAATACACCACCTCTAACAGACCACAGCTTACACCCCAGAGAAATACACCACCTTATCAGACCACAGCAAACACCCCAGAGAAATATACCACCCTAACAGACCACAGCTTACACCCCAGAAAAATACACCACCTCTAACAGACCACAGCTTACACCCCAGAGAAATACACCACCTCTAACAGACCACAGCTTACACCCCAGAGAAATACACCACCTCTAACAGACCACAGCTATACCCCAGAGAAAATCACCCCACAGACCACAGCTTACACCCCAGAGAAATACACCACCTCTAACAGACCACAGCTACACCCCAGAGAAATACACACCTCTATCAGACCACAGCAAACACCCCAGAGAAATATACCACCTCTAACAGACCACAGCTTACACCCCAGAGAAATACACCACCTCTAACAGACCACAGCTTACACCCCAGAGAAATACACCACCTCTAACAGACCACAGCTTACACCCCAGAGAAATACACCACCTCTAACAGACCACAGCTTACACCCCCAGAGAAATACACCACCTCTATCAGACCACAGCTTACACCCCAGAGAAATACACCACCTCTAACAGACCACAGCTTACACCCCAGAGAAATACACCACCTCTATCAGACCACAGCTTACACCCCAGAGAAATACACCACCCCTATCAGACCACAGCTTACACCCCAGAGAAATACACCACCTCTATCAGACCACAGCTTACACCCCAGAGAAATACACCACCTCTATCAGTAAGTAGATGCCCACGTGGACACCCGCGCAGGTTGACATAATTTGTACCAAGATGAGTATTGAATAATCTTACTTAGCCTTTTAATAAAGAATAAAGAATATAAATGTAAACTATTCTATCTCTGCCTATAAATTAAAAAAGGTACTGTAACTCAAAATTCTATTCTTTGTTGATTGACTTTTCAGACATTTCTAACATGCGAAGATAAGTAAGGTTTATATTATCTAAAGATTCTTACAATATTTACTCGTGTACAGGATCTCCTCTGTGTCACCCAAATGAAATATTAAAAGTAGCGTCCCCGGAGTGAGGGAGTTAACGTGTTGCCTCAGCTGGGGAGGAGGGGGAGGAGTAAGTCTTCTGAGAGCACTAGCATATAACATTCTCCGCCCCACCCACTTGTCGTGACACCCACCCTCTCTCTCGCACTACCCACCCTCCGTCACACCACCCACCTCTCTCTTACATCACCCTTTCTTTCTTTCTCTCTTTCTTTCTTTCTTTCTTTCTTTCTTTCTCTCTCACTGTAACATTTCATCACATACCGACTAAAAATTACACTCAGGTGAGACATGCAGGTAAAGTTAGGTCAAACTAATTACGTGATATGCCATGACATTTACCAAGGGTGTGGTGTGATAGTTAACAGTGAGGGGTGGGAGGGGGTGACGTAGCTACCTTTCTTACTATGAGTGTTACTGTTACTTTATGGTTACGAAGTGAGGTGAAATATGTGGCAGAAAAAACAATCCTGCGTAAGGTGTTTAAAGGGACACGAGACTGGGATGATGGTCTTTAACATTACGTAGGATCCAACACTAAAGATAACTGTGCCGATAATAACACCTTCCTGGATACTGTCGATAAGGAGGAAGATCGTTGTGATGGATCAGTCGTAAGGCGGAGCAACACGTGGAAACAGCAGTGAAAAAAAAAAAACAGCCAAGCGATATTTGAGAATTATAAAGCGTAAATTGTCGCTCCAGAATGTATCTTTCCGATTTTAGGTGAGGCAATATGACACAAAGGACGATAGATTTTGACAAACCTACCGAGACAACAAGAGTCACGGTGTGTATTTTGAAATTCATCGACCCATTCCGTCAATATATATTTTTGGAGCGAGTGTTTACCTTCCACTACAAAGATAAGAAAATATTCCTTTATCTTTATACTGTAAATATCACGTACGTCCCAGTCTGGACGACTGTATACAGGCGTAGTAACCCTGCCTCCATAAAGACCTAACGTCCCAAGAAAAGGTGTGACACAGGGCGACCAAGATGATTCCTGAACTGTGTTATCTCGATTATCCAAGTAGACTGTGAGACTAAGGACTAACCCGTCACACAAGGTACACTAGGGCAGATATCACTGAAACATTCAAAATCCTTTAAGTGATGGAAAACATGAACCCGGGACACTTTTTAGTGATGTTAGCACAACCTACACTAGGGGACATAACTTAAACTTCGCCAAGTTTTCATGGAGAAGGAACATATGTTAATACTTCTTCACACAGAGGCTGGTAGACCTATGGAACGGTCTACCAGTCCAACACAAGCTGTGGAATAGAGATCGGCACTGAGCTTCAAAATAGTCCTTGACAAAACTATCATGAACAATGGAGGGATCCTACACAGGCCACTGGCCTCCTTCTCTCGGCATGGCCACCTCTAGTTTGGGTGGCTATTACGTAAATAAGGTAAATAAGTATATCAAAGGATATCGGAGGCTGGGTGGCGCAGACGGCCCACCCGCGCACACACTCGGCGTCGGTCAATATCCCACCAAAACATCAGCTGTTGGAAGGACCATCAGCCCACAAGAGCAGAGAGCGCTGGCGGAGTTGTGCCCCAACACGCTCTGCTCCCTAGTCACCCTCTGGTTGTGTTACCTGCGTAAAAGCGTTAAAATAACAGATAAAAAATAAATTAACATCACGTTACCTCATCAGAAAAAGAGGCGAAGGAGTCGTGAGTGAACAGGGCTTGTATCAAAGGAATAAAGATTCCTGACACAGGATAAGTGGCCGGGGAGGTGGGCGTGGGGTGTAGTGTCTCTCTCCTGCTGTGTGGTTCACCGATAAACTTAAGAAAGGTGTTTTACTGCCCCTGAGACTCGACTAGAAATCAAAGAGCAGTGTGGCTGTGAGCTGAGAGGTCACCGTGGATGAGCTCATGGCTGGCATATCGTGTGAACTGATGAAAGATGCGCGGACTGTAGGAACACACTGCTGATCATCCTGTCGGGAGTGTCTCGCTAACTGACCAAGTACGTCTCACTCCATCGGTGTGTCTACTACCGGTGATTATTTTCTCAATTTCTTAGAGAATATAGTCAGTGTTGATAATCAATTTCCAACATATTAATTGTTGTCCTCCAATCAATATTAATTACAGACTGTAAATAAGTAATCTGGGGGCACTGGCCAACCAGCCCAGTGGTAGAGGATCACACTGGCTCCTGTAGGGTGACGCTACACTCTCACACCACCACCAGGAAGGAGCACCACACTTGTTGCTACTGTAGTACTGTCTTTCTTTCTCTTACTCTCGTAAATTGGCAATAATTTCTGAGATGATGAAAGACTATACCTTGAGCCCTGTTGACCAAGGCAGTGTATAAGGTGCTCAAGCTCGAACAGTTATCACCTAGAACACCTCTGAGCTAACATACAAGCTATTCTTTTACAAGTTACATCAGGCGATTATACTACGCAGGGCTAGAAACATCGGCAATATCCTGTTAGTTCGATCTATCCTGGTAATAAAGTTTGTTCCTGCCAGATTAATGATTCGATTTTAGTGAATTGATTTAATAGTAGTGTGGATATGTGATAAAGAAGCGAGATGTGGGTGGTGATGAGGGATGTGGATAGAGGAAAAAAAGGTGTGGATAGATGATGAGAGGTGTGTGTTGAGAGAGAGAGAGAGAGAGAGACTGTGTTATATGGTATTCTAAGGTAAATAAATCATGTTTAGAAACCTTTAGGTAAATTAATCCACACACGGACACTATATGAAAACTGAACTACCGTGTATGGTGAAAACGTACACCGAATGTGGTTATTTTTCTTATACACACACACGCACACGCACACACACACACGCACACATACGCACACACACACACACACACACACACATTAGCATATCTACAAATGTATACACACTCAATCAAACACAAGCATATATAGTACATATATACACGTGTGTGTGTGTGTGTGTGTGTGTGTGTGTGTGTGTGTGTGTGTGTGTGCATGTGTGTGTGTGTATGTGTGTGTGTGCTTCATTTAAGACGTCGTTTACTATCATAATACAGCAACATTATACAGTACATAAAGTAAATTAGGTTAGGTTTGGTTAGGTTAGGTTATGTTAGGTTAGGTTGCTCGCCACTACAGACTGCATCAATATATCTGCTGTAGGTGTTGCCCATGTTTGACCCATTGACCAGTAGTACTTTATGACGACCCGCCGCTCCTTCACAACTAGCTACCTCTCTAGTACCGTCTCTTCCTCAGCGCTGCCATACACTGACGGCCTCCTGCAGGTAGACGAGAGAGCGGGGTGCACTCTCCTCTCACCTGGGTCAGCCACGGTCTCCCACACCTGGCCAAACACCACCTATAATGCGGACTCTTAGGGTAGGTTAGGTTAGGGTAGGTTAGGGTAGGTTAGGTTAGGGTAGGTTAGGTTAGGGTAGGTTAGGGTAGGGTAGGTGATCTCCCTCAGAGGAGGTTATACGGAGTGATTATATGTAATTGTCAACCTGTCCTCTAGGCCTTCTCCTCCACCTACCTCTAAACGTGTCCCTTTAATCCAACAGGAGTCTCAGCGTTACCTATTAAGTTACGTCTTCCTTTAATGTCCCACTGTCAACAACCTTCAGCCACTCAACACAGTACGTCACCAGCTTGTTCACACTACTGGTGGGCTGAGGTGGTGGCAGGAGAGTCTCGTGTTGTTGAGTCTGCTGATGGGTCTGCTGCCCTTTAAGCATAGTTAATTAAAAAAAAAATGTTGAAAAAAAATAAAAAATAACGAAATTTATTGTTAGTTATATTTGTGTGAAGAAAACAATTATTCGGGTCTCAGTATTGGTGCAAGATTGTTCCACTGATGGTGATTATTTTGGGGATAGGTGAGGGGCATAGGTGGGAGGGTGGGCAGGTACAGGTGATGGGTGGGAGGGTTAGCATGGGGCTAGGTAGGTGGAGGGTGGGGGCTAGGTAGGGTGGAGTGGGGCCAGGTAGGTGGGAGGTGGTAGTGGGAGGGTGGGGCAGGTAGGTGGGAGGGGGCTAGGTAGGTGGGAGGGGTGGGGCTGGGGTGGAGGGTGGGGCTAGGAGGTGGGTGGGGGTAGGTGGGAGGGGGTTAGGTATAGGTGGAGGTGGGGTATAGGTGAGGTGGGGGTTGTGGGCATGGTGGGAGCGTGGGGTTAGGTATAGAGGTGGGGGGGCTAGGTATAGGTGGAGGGTGGGGGGTCAGTATAGGTGGGAGGGTGGGGGCTAGGTATAGGTGGGAGGGTGGGGGCTAGGTAGTAGGTGGAGGTGGGGGGCTAGGTATAGGTGGAGGGTGGGGCCAGTATAGGTGAGTGGGGCTAGGTATAGGTGGGAGGGTGGGGAAGGGTATAGGTGGAGGGTGGGGGGACAGGTATAGGTGATGGGGGCTAGGTATAGGTGGAGGGTGGTGGCTAGTAGGTGAGTGGGTGGGGGCTAGGTGAGGTGGAGGGTGGGGCTAGGTAGGTGTATACATTATATCGGTTGGGATAAAGATGTGACGAGGAAGCGACCTAATGACGGTAATAAAATAATAATTAATAATTAACGGTTTATTGAAAGAGCTTGGCAGCCAGAAGGCTGAAAATATACAGTTACATATTTGGGGAATGGGTTACGAATTACAAATAATATACAAGTAACATATGACACAAATAACATATAATAACTAGATGGGATCAACCAGTTCATTTCAACATAGTGACAGTGTAAGGAGAAGATGAGTGAATAACACGGTGTGTGTTTGTGTGTGTGGGGGGTGATGGTAAAGGGAAACAGGGCGTGGAGTGGTGGAGGGCGCGGTGGAATAGGGCAAGGAGGATGGAGGCGCGGTGAACAGGGCGTGGAGTGGTAGAGGGCGCGGGGAAAACAGGGCGTGGAGTGGTGGAGGGCGCGGGTGAGACAGGGCGGGAGTGGTGGAGGTGAGACAGGGCGTGAGTGGTGGAGGGCGGGTTCAGAGGAGCGTCCCCTGGCGAGTTACGTCGCCGCCCGTCTGATCTCCTGGGATATTGGGCGTGGGCTGGTGGGATGATGGGCGTGGGTTTGGTGGGATGATGGGCGTAGACTGGTGGGATGATGAAAACAATAGACTGGTATAAGATGATAGGCGTAGGGTGATGGGATGATGGGCGTGGGTTCGTGAATTGATGGGCGTGGGTTTGTGAATTGATGGGCGTGGGTTGTTGGAAGTGTGGGTTTACTGTACAGTCCCATATTTCACTTAGTGTCCCTTCCTGAGGTGGAAAACGGAGGGAGAGGGAGGAGTGTGTCTGTCTGAGGGGGGGGTGTGGGGACGGAGTACAGTATCTCAGTTAGGAAGATCACAACGCAGAATAAAGCTTTTAATAATACCGGGATGATAAGACTTAAAACTTCAGTAAAGTAAGAGACCGAATAAGACTGAACATTATATTTCTTGTGTGAGATAGAAGGACTTACTGGCCATGTGTGAGATAGAAGGACTTACTGGCCATGTGTGAGATAGAAGGACTTACGCTGTGTGAGATAGAAGGACTTACTGGCCAAGTCACTAAAATATACCAAGACATTTTTCGCCCTTTTTTTTTGCGCTTAAATTTAATTAAACAAATGGATTTTATGGCACTCGGGTCGTTATGTAGACGATAACATCAGCCAGACTATCATGACTTAATTACAACAACAAGAACAAATAACTCTGCATGGTTTATATATAACGAGTTAAGGAGATTTGTTGCAATATTGCCATTCTCAACATATTGACTTTTATGACGTTAAACTAAAGTGTGTAATAACATTGATACCTAGTGATGTAGCAAGATATTTGTATTAAGCATATGAAGATTAGACACCCCAACTTATATCATCCAAATACTCAATTCTAACGCTAAGGTTAATGTAGCCTAATTTAAATTAACCTGACTTATCCTAAATTAACTCAGTCACCCAGGTAGCGTTAGAGTGGTTAATGATGAGGTGAAATACTGGGGTGTCTAAATTGTCAGGTGATGTGATTCATTAACGTCCAAATCATTTTTGCCATGTGTCTTCAGCTGTAAGGAGCTGAAATTATCTACAGTTACACGAATATCGAACAGTGGTCCTCCCCACCCTGCTATGTGGCAGCGAGACATGGGTCACATTCAGGAGGTACCTGAAGGCGCTTGAAAACTTTTACCAATGTAGTCTGTGTTCCATCCTCCGAGTTTGTTGGGAAGACAAGAGAACAAATGCCAGTATTCTTGCTGACACCAACTGTAGGAGCATCGAGGCTACCATTATCCATGAACAACTACGCTGGACTGGCCATGTTACCCGCATGGACTGCCAAAGCAGCTACTTTACAGTCACCTAACGAATCGTAAACGTAACGCTGGCGGACAGTGGTAAAGGTATAAGGATAGTCTTAAGACAAACCGAAAAGTGTCAAATCGGATCCCTCACCTGGGAGACGATTACTCAACACTGGAGCACTTTGGAGTTACACTGCAAACCGAGGCAGACAAATGCCATCATCGGAGAGACGCTGCCGCCGCCCCTCCCGCACTAGATGTAGCCCTCCACACATGCAACATCTGTTGTCGACCATGCCGATTCCGTATCGGCCTCTCGAATCACCTCAGAGCTCACCAACGAAAGTAGCATCCTTAATAATTCATATCATTGTATCATAGCTGGATGATCGTCATATTCCATTCCGAGTGACAGCAAAGTAGTAGTAGTAGTAGAAATAAGAACATAACATAAGAAAATAAGGAGTCTGCAATAGATCGGTTGGCCTGTGCATGGCAGCTCCTGTCGAGAGTTACTACCCTAACCAACCATTAAACCTATCCTTACCCTATCTAAGCCAACTTGACCTGTTACCTAACCTAATTTAAATCAAGTAATATTCTTAAATGTATGTATGTGTGGCACGAATGTAATTTTGGCCTCGTATATGGAGAGAGAGACTAGTCCCCTGGTGATATGCGAGTGACTGTTATAATGGTTGCTGGCCTGTGTGTGTGTGTTGTGTATGTGTGTGTGTGTGTGTGTGTGTGTGTGT